GTTCTCTTAGAACTTGAAAATAGTTTTAGAAGCAATTTGTATAGGAAGTAGAGACTATTTACGAAATCCATAAAATAATCTATAAAATTGTTTTGTTCGGTTATTAAAACTTCAAACTAATAGATGTTTCTAGAAAATAAAATTCTGTATCTTCCAACATGAAAATCAAGATCATAGATTATTTTTCTGCTGAAATATTTGCTAAGGAAAGAAATGTCACACTTGACAATTGTTTGAAAAACGAATGATTCTATACAACAATTTGCTCTTGTTAAGCTTTATTGTTGAATAGATATCTTTGATAACAGACTCGAAACTCAATAAAATATTTATAAATCAATAAAAACATGTATTCTTTTGTCCTGCTTCTATTGACACAATAAAACAAGTATGTAGGCGAATTCTTTATTCGTTTTTCAAGATAAAAATACGAGAGATGTTGTTCTCTAATAGTAAAAATATCCAACAAAAAAAAAATGTACTGGATTCTATTGAATTAATAATTCTGAATGAATGGTACACTTTTGGCTGTATTTTTATCAATGATATACCTTTCTAATAAAACCTTTCAAATGATTGAGCTATCGAATTTTTTAATATACGGGAAAAGATTCAAATGAAAATTTCAAAACAAAAGTTTTCCAAAAAACTGAGGCTTCTAGAGCTTAGTCAAATCATAAGAGAAATCGAAACCCTTCTAGGACTTCTATTAGAACACTATGCAGTACCTATAGACAAAAAAAAATGATTAAAATCAAAATGAGACGCTTGGGGAGGTTCCCTTGTTAATATAAATATAGATTGTGATTCATAAAAATGTAAATCTATTCGCCTCTCTAATACCCATTTGACAATCTTCTTTTGAAAGTTTTTGATTTACTAAATTCTATTATGTAACTATCATGTAATGCAAAACAAATCTAATCTATATACCTAAGAACAGACTCGACAAAAACTCGTAATGCCTTGATATGCATAGATGCTGAAAATATTTCACCAAAATTAATTTTAAGCCAACGAACAAGATTTGCATAAAGTTTTTGTCGTTCAGTTTCAAGTTCTCGAATTTTTTCACGTTCAGTTGCCAAAGCTTTTTCATCAAATGTAAATTCTCGTACAGTAAATCTTAAATAAAAGAATAAAAAAACCAGAACAATTTTTTAAAACTTATCATTTACTTATTTTCTCGACATTTATGTCTAAATGTATCTTCTGTTTTTTGAAATAATGTTACAGTAAATAATGCATAATCTTGATCTTGTGTTACCAATTCAGTTGTACGTGGTACAATCATTGTACATAATGATTCATATTTCGCATACCATTCATTCATTAAAGGTTTTGGTACACAAACTAATAATGTTTTTAAATATTCACTACCCAAGACGAAATGTTCTTTTTTTAAAACATCATTTAAATTACGTGTTAATAAACTACCACTAGAAACAAAAACAATATTATTTTTATTAACCAAAAAAACAAAAGAAAGAATTAGAAAACAAATAACATACGATTGTTTTTTTTCTAACGATTCCAAATTTTGTTTAACATTATTATATGATTGACTACGAAGTTTAAGTTCAGTTTCAATATGTGTTGCTGCCTATGAAAAACAAAAAAATACTGAACTATATTAATCATGAAGTGACTTTGATTTTTTTTCATTGTTCAAAAATCTCATATTTGATAAGTGCTAATGAGTAATAGAAAAGCCTACAATGCTTTAGATTTGCAAAGAAAAGTTATGAGCCCATTTAGATCACATGAGAGTTTTGGTTCAAACTTTCCATGAATAAAGTTCACAATAAGATTAAAATTCATCATGTAAGTTTTAACTTTTCTAGTATTTCATTTCTGGATATGTCAATACATCAACCAAATTTCATGGAAAACTTTGTTCGTGTAAAAGATGAAGTCAAAAGTCTATTTTTCACTTGACCGTAACCATTTGTTAAAATATTCAGTGAAATTTCAATATGTCAAGAAAGAAAACCGAACCATTCTAGACTTTTCTATTACTCATTAGTAGAGCATGCATCTACTGTCATCATTGAATCGCTAGACAAGATCTTCCTTGAAAGTCACATGAACAATCTGAAGTATGATTACAATGATGCTGAAGCTATGTAATTTTATCTTGGAAATCTATACACAAGGTTATTTATATAGCCGACTGAAGAAGATAAGCGATACTCGTTAGATTAGAAATTCAAATAAGTTTATATCATTCAAACAAAATAATCATGAATGTTTTCTTGAAGGTCCTAAGGACGAATATCTTCAGTTGTCTTCTTCCAATTTCAATTGTTTTTTACCTATAGATACTACATAGTCTTCTAACAAAAGAATTTGGGTTCCTATTGAGATGTGCTAAGTTGTAGATTAAAATTCTATAGCTTAGTGAATTCTCAATAGGAATCGAAATCATTATTAGACAATATTTATATACCCATTTGGTATGTTCATAAAAGCATCATTTTTCAAAAATGATTATAGTTAAAACGACATAAGTCAAATGAATTTTACTTCTGGCTGATAAAGTTATAGTCTATCAATATACAGATACTTTTAATCGATTTTTTTTTATATATATCACATGCATAATTCACTAATAAATATGATTCTAAAATACTTCATATAACAAAAGTTAAAGATATTATTGAAAGAAATAAAACTTACTTTTGAAATAATTTCCGAAAGATTTTTTAATGATTGTTTTGTTGGATATTTTGCATGATCCCATTGAAATTCGGTTACATAACGAATTGGATCAACTAATTTTGTTTTTTATTAAAATTAAATTAAACAAACAAGAAAGAAAAACATACCAGCATTTTGACCAACAACAAGATTTTCAGCAAGACGATTACGATCATCTTCGAGAACATCATGAAAAAAGAATTGAGTTAATTTTTTTGTAACTCTAAAAACTTAGATTTTTTCTTCGATTTATAATAAATACTTTATTTTATTTTTACCCTTCAATGTATCCGTCAAGTCGAGCAAGGTCATCCGAGAGTGCAACAAGTGAATCGAGTGTACCAACCTAAATAAATAAAAATTTGCAAAAAAAAAACAATGAATTTATTAATTTTTATTTATTTAACCTTTAAATCAGGAATGTTAAATACATAATTTTGTGATAATTGATCACGTCCAGTGGCTTGACAAAGCTCATCATAGCTTTGTCGTGGTGTTGATTTGCCTGGTACAGATATAATCCAATATTCGTCTGACATAATTGTCAATGAAATTAAATAAAAAAGAAAACAAGAAATCTAAAATAAAGATACTGATATGTTTATAACAAAACATAACCTGACTAAACAAGTTCTAGAAATCCATTTTTTGTGATGATGGTGGTTTGTGTCATGTAGTATTGATTATTTTATAAAATTTAATTGGTGAATAAGAAGAGCCAATGAGAATTTTTTAAAAAACATATTTATTTAAATTTTCAAAAAAAAACTTACAATAATTTAAAAATGAAATGAATAAACTATTTTGAAATGTTTATTTTAATTGATTTATAAATCATTATCTCTCCAAATGAAAAAATATGGATATAGCAATCTTTTATTTCAGTCGAATCGTTTGTTTCTACTTTCGCTTTTATTATCACACATCACATTGTATATATATATTTATATCTATGATCTTTTCTGATCAATATCTTTGTTTTCTTCTTTACAATCTTCAAGCATATTATAGACCATTGATGACGACTTTTCCATGTTTGTTTTTATTTTATTTTCCCTTTACAGCTGATCGACTGTATAGGAATGTGCGTACGCAAAAGTTTTTAAAATAGTGAACTAAGAGACTTATTTTCATTCGTTTACTTATATATATATATATGTGCATTTCGCTTCTGTATTCTTGTGTCAATAGACTTCGAGCAAGAGTGACAAAAAAGTGTATGCAGGTAGTCTTTGTCAATGAGAGAGATACTCGAGAAATCAAAACACTTTGCCGCATATGACTGTGATGGCGGATTTATACATAACGAAAAAAAGTGAAGTAGATTTTTTTCTCTCGATCTATTTTTATGATATCAGTATTGTTGTGTATTTAAAAAAAAAAAAAAGATGCATAATAAAAGATAGATTATTGTCAATCTTAACAAATGCTTTTTTTCCGATTTGAAGAGATATTTCATCGTAGTATTAAGCGTTGTCGATTAATCACAATCGATATCGAGTATCATTTTTCTTCAGTATTTAACATATATTAAAGCAAAGTAAAGACATTCGATCATACAGTCATGCAGTTCTTTTCTTTTTATAGCAAATAAAAACGTTAACTATTTGAATATTCTCTTTAGCCATTCGCACATCGATCATGATTATAATAACCTCATTCGATTGATTTTGTATTTTTTAAAGTGTCTCCAAAGAGTATTGTTTTTTTTTTTGCAATACAAATAATAGAAGTTTTTTTTATTGCGCACTATACATCCGGACATGAGGAAAAACGACTGTTTTTTTTACAAGCATATTGATAATTTTATTCATTCAGTTTTTTTTTCTTTTGTTTTCTACCTCGATCATTCACATTCCTCCTTGAAAGTCATGCATTTTCGCTCAATTGATCATTATGTCAAGGATTTTCTATTAGTCATGTCCGTATGTATTTGACCATACATTTTTTTTTACTAAACGTAAAAAATAACTCAATAAATTGTTTTGAAAATCAAGGTTAGTAGAGAATTTATCGTGTACGAGAACAAAAAGGTCACGTATTTTCGTGTATGAAGTTAATTTATTGATTCAGAGTTACATTGGTGTCTTATTTAAACGAAGATTAACTTCTTTTTTCTCTGTCCTAATGTAGGCGACATGACATACTTTTACTTCATGTTCATTTGATATAGTCTTTGAATTATTCTCTTTGACGAGAGAGAAAAGATGTTCACGTAATACTACTTACTTCGAATACATATACATTGAAGGAAAAAAAACGTACAAAGACTCATACATTTTATTGGTTTCTAGATCATAATGCTTAGCCATCTTCGCCGAGGACATAATTATGAATTTAATGAGTAAATAAGAATTATTATTATTATTATTATTTTCTGTTCGATTATCTTGTTTTTTTCGTTATCTAGAGCTTCAAAGCCTATGAATCCAATGAATGGTAATGCAGAACGTTGGAAATCATCAGGTAACAGTTTATTGAGTTTGTATGGTTTTTTTTTTTAATATCAACTTTATCATTAAATCTTATAGTTAATTTCTTGGTAAGTTGAATGCATTTCGCCTATGGTGTTTTTTTTTTCAATAAATCGATTTTCCAGCAGCTTTTTTATTTTATGATATTGGTTAATAGATTAGTAATTACTATTATTGCTTGCTATTTTTTGCTTTTGTTTGTTGGTTTAGTAACATACAACTCCCACATACATAAATTTTATCAAGTAATTTTTTCATAGATTTTCGTCACTTATGTGTGAAGAATAAGGCGTGACAAGTAGCATGGCAATAAGATATCTATTCTTCATTGCTCTTTCAACTTTTTTTTTTTTCATCTACCGTTTATTATTTGACCCCTCATTATGAATACATTCATTATACCGCTATTCGTTCTTTATTTGGACAAAATTTTATCAAGTTTTTTTTCTTTTATTTCTTCTCTCTTTTTTTTTTCGTTTTTCTTCTGCTTCTACAAATCGATCGTCGTCGTCGTCGTCCTCTGTCTACCATAGAAAGAGAGCTCTACTAGTTATAAACAGCACAATTATTATTTTTCGTTTTCTTGATCCGTCGAACATACATAAAGAAGAGAAAAAAAAATTGAAAAGAGTGAAAAAAAAAAAGAAAAGACAAGAATCGAGATTTTCAAAACGGCACACGTCGATCATCAACACCTTTTTTTTTTACTTAATCTAAATAACAACAAAACAGTATTGAATTGTCATTACTTATTCGACCTCAGCGTGATCTATCGATAAACTATATATAACAATACAGTAAGTGAGGTGAAAGATTCGACCTCAAATGACTTACTTTGGAAATTCACCATATTTTCATGGTGGTCAACCTGCCAATCAGTCTATGGTATATTATCCCCTTAATGAACACTACAATGGTATGTTATTGTTATTGCTATTGTTACACTCGATTACCTTTGAGCACTTAAATGTAATATGATATTTGTCTTAGAAGAAGATCTTCATATTTTACATAATTAAATAACAAGAAAATTGTTTCTTTTTTTTTTTTCATCTAGACCGAGTTAATTCATCTTTTTTATCAAATAATTTATTATCTGAGGTTTATACACCACGTTCAAATGTAACTGCACATAATCCTGATTTATCACGAGCAGCTCGTTTCGATGCTTATTTATTAGCTATTGTACGAATTGAAGATAAACGAAGTAAGCTCATTAATGTTTTTTGTTTTATGTTCAATTTCTTATATTTTACTTTTTATTTTACTTGAATTAAATAATCTATTGTGTTTTATTTACTTAGATGCTTTTTATTCGGCTGAAGTTGTTGGTAAATTACGTCATAAAGAACAAACACAAAGTTTTATTAATAAACCATGTTCGTTATTTGTTACTGATCGTTCACTTATTATATTCGATCGAGCATCACAAGTAAAATATTCGTGTTTTTTTTTTCTTTTCTAAATAAAATATTTCTATTATTTCATTAGGTTATTGCTGAAACTATTCCACTTGAAAATGTCGATCCAACATGTGTACATGCTGATGTACCTGATACACTTAATGATATATTCATGTATCGTTTACTTGATCGACATTTAGCAACAACAGCTAGTTATGGTAGTAGTACGAATACCAATGATTCATCATCTGTTATTGTGTTTAAATGTTCAAATAATGAAGCAAAAATACTTGTTGATAGTATTCGAACTTCTACTGGTAAACCATTAAAAAATCAGAAAAGGTAAAAAATCAATATTGATGTTTTTTTGTTTTTTACATCATATAACTCTTGAAATCTGTATAAAGAAAAACAAAATTAAATCATTCTATAAGAGATAAACACTTGCTTTCGCTTTGAAATTTGGAAGGTTTTTCTAATAGTTTGTTGACAATAAGTTTTGCATTATGAATCACTGAGTTGATCGTTTCTTTTAAGTGATTTACGATCGACATATATCTATGTGACCGAAACAATGGTCCCTTGACTCTATTGTTAAACACGGTCTAAAAGGAAATGTTAAAGTATAAAAGTAATCATTTGAGCTCTCTCCCCGCCCACTTTCCCCTTCGTGTCACAGACCATAAATCAATAATGTCTCGTTATCGTGTATAAACTATTTCCTCATTATAATTATTAGACTATTAAATAAAATGATGATGAAGAAATATGTCTCGAAATCAATAGAATAAAATAATCTCCCTATGATTAGTAACAACATCCACATCGTCTTTCGTATTTTAATCCCACAAGGATTGTATTAACGGCTTTTTCATAAGTCTGGACAAATATAAACTATAGAGAATAGAATGATATCATATGAGAGTCAATCACACATAATAGACATTCAAACATGTTTTGATTGTCGTTTTGTCCTAGTTTCTAACAAAATAAAGAAAGAAAAAAGCCTCGATCTGTAATACCCTCAGGCTTATGTTTTCTCCATCATGACGAAAGAAATTTGAGATCAAAATTTGAAAGTTTACTGAAACCATTACTGAAGATTACAGTTAAATATTCTATGATTTTAAGTGAGTTATCTTATGAATTATATCAATAAGAATATAATTCAAGAGTAATGACCTAAAAATCTGCTAGTCAACGGCTAGATAAATCAAAAAACGAGTATTGAAGAATTCTTTTAGATTTGATACAAATAAATTCTGAGATAGTTTTCTCTAGACTAGGGTCGGAACCTAAAAAACTAAAATCATCGGGACTATGATCATAAGAAACGAAACTATCGGAACCAAAAAAAACTATGGTCCCGTACATCGCTAATGATGGCATATGATAATTGATGTTAAAATCTAGTTTTTTCTTTTTTGTATTTTAGTACTTACACAGATACACGTAATGTGGTTGAACGTCGTCCTACTGATATTTATTATCCTAGTCCAACTAGTTTAAATCCACCAATCAGAATGGAACCATCACAAATTAATAGTAAAATTAATTACAATTTAATTTGATTATCTATTATTTGTTTTTTTTAAATAGATCCATCACATGTAGTGAGTAATCAGCAAACACGAACTGTCGTAACTCAACAATCAACATCAGCTGCAACAGATTATTATAAACGTTTAACAGAAGAATTAAATAAATGTTTTGATGATATTGAATTATTTGTACGTTATCTTGAAGCATTAACGGAATATACCAAAGAATTAGAACGTGATCATCGACGAAAAGATAAAAAATCAGCTGGTATATTTTATTAATATATATATATATTTAAATCAGTTGCTATTATTATCTTTCTTTTTTTTGCAGCAGGTTTAAAACAAATGGTTGAAAAACTTCCAGATGATCCTTATTTTAATGATATATTACAAAAATTTAAACATTCATTTAATTTATTAGGTGAACTCAAACACATAATACACAATCCAAATGCACCTGAATTAATACATTATTTATTATCACCTTTACAATTTATTTTATATACATTACGTACAAAACATCCACATCAATTAAAAATTGCACAAGAAATATGGATGCCAGGTTTAACCAAAGAAGCAAAAGAATTATTATTAAACTGTTTAACATCCAAAGAACATGAAATTTTACGTAATCTTGGTCCAGCATGGATGCGAACAAAGTAAAAATTATTAATTTAAATTTCATTTTCTATGTCTTTATATTTTCAAATTTATAGTGATGATTTAACACCAAAATTTTCTGATTATCGACCAGTATTTTTTGAAGGTCAAGCTGTATGGGTTCAAAATGCATCAATTCCACATCCTCAATCAATACCATTACAACCAACACATAATACTGATCAAACAAGAGTTACTCATCCTTTTACTAGATTCGACGAACCACAACAATTTGCTTCAGCTACTGCTCGCGTATGTTGAAATAAATGATTTTCTTGTTTTTCATTTTCATCTATTTAGTCATCGAATCAGAATAATAATAATAATGGTTTATCAACAAATTATAATACAAAATTAGTTCAACAACCTTCACCAATTGTTGGACATTTTGATACATCAACTGTTGATCGTTCAACTAAAAATACTATGTTAGAAAATTATAATTCTCAAATGCAAAATGAACATGCTTGGGCTATTGATCGAAAACGAGCTGGAGCAAAGTGAGTAAAAAAGAAAAAGACAAGACATTCAATAAAAATTTTATTATGTTTTTCTTTTGTTTTAAAGAATTTGTGCTGTCAAAATGGATCGTAAAGGACACAATAATAAAGAATTAACTGTACGTCGTGGTGAATTAATTGAAATTGAAGATAGTTCAAAGAAATGGTGGCGTGCAAGAAATTTTTATGGTGATATTGGTCATGTACCAAATAATATTGTTGAAGAAATTGAAATAGAACATCGACCACTTGTATGTAGAAAAACTTGACATGAATTTTTTGTTTTCATTTTATTATTATTCTATTTATTATAGGGAATATCACCATCGATGCCATCTGGTACAAATTTACATCATTCTTTAACAACTACAAATAGTCGTTTACGTAATAATTAATTACAAAAAGAAAAGAAAAAAAGAAAAAAAATTTCTAAATTTTCTTTTCTTTTCTCCTGTTGCCATCGTATTTGCACTCTATTTTGATTGTCTTTATATGTATACGTATATAATGTAAGTTCAACTGTTTATTCTTTTATCTAGAGTAGAGATATAATTGTTGACGTCAGCAAGGATAAACTACCAACAGTGGAGTTCTATTCAAACAATTTCAAATCTTCTTTTTTTTTCTCTTGCTCTCTTTTTCTTTTTCTATTTGTTAGCTTGTATGTGCAGAACAGTATCTTTTATTTTATACTAATTGACTGCACAATTGAAATACCTATCTTATCATATGTTGCAATCATTTGTCTGTATGTATATAGAATTTTTTTTTCAAATTATTTTGTGAGCGTCTGCTTTCCTTTTTCTTCTTTTTCTCTTTATTGTTCTAATAAAAACTGAATGCAAAAAAAAGAAAAAAGATAACTCTTATCGAGTATGTCGCGCGTCAATAGTAGCCATATTTTATCTTGTTGTCGTAATTTCTAATGATTCATATAATAGTCAACAAGATAAATAACAATGGGCTATTGGTCTCGCTGTTTCTCTCGATTTATGTGTATTTTGTGTTCTTTTTAGTTGTACAAAAAAAAAACAGAAAACTTTCCACAAATATATTTGTGTGTATGTATCGTGTCTTGACATCAGAAAAATTTAATTTGTACTTGTCTTTATTCGTTCTTTCATTATTTTCGATTTCTTTTCTTTTTTCTTGTTAATCGCGATATATTTGTGTTTTTTTCTTTCTAAACTCTACAAAGAAGTTTTTTATTCTCGTTCAAACACAAAAATAAAACGAATGTGAATGAGAAAACGAAAATAAAAAGAATAAAATCAGATCTATTTATTAGCTTTTTGGTTTATTATTGCCTTATGACATGATGCATTATTCGTTTGGACTTGATCAAGTGATAGTCAAATAAGAAATGAAATATATATTTTCATCATTAATGTCAAGTTGTCTACTAACTATTATTCATTCTAAAAAAAGAATGTTGATCGTTGTTTTTTTGAATAACTTTTAATAGAAACAACAAAAAGAGCTTGAGTTTTCATCATTCAAGAGTGACCACACATGGACGGGGGGGGGGGGGGCATGGAAGTAAGTTGAAATTTAATTGATTAGCAATTAACTTATCTGGTGAACTCAAAACTAAGACTTTAAAAACGAAATTCTGAAGTTATTTTTAATTGGATTTCGATATGTAATATGATCAATGAATAGAGAAATGTTTTCTGTTTCGGTCCACGTAAATCCCAGTTTTGTAGCTGCTGTTGATCAAGAGTTACAAAGGTATTCTTGAGATCTCTAAATTCGAAAATGGATCTTGAAAAGCTCCAAAACAGCTGAAGATGCGTGTAATTGATCATGTTGAGTCAAATAGTAATGCTTGTTGTCAGTTTCTAAGTGACTTGAAATCACTATTTCAAGTATCTTTTCAAAATCTATAAATAGTAATTGCACGTCGATTTGAAACTAAAAACAAACGTCACCATTCGATATAGTATGATGAATTACCCCTGTCCTACGCTCTTTTGAACCATGCCAGGATCGACTCATTGAAAATCAGGTGATCTGAGAGAAACTCTTGAACAAAAATGGTTACGAAATTAGAGCCTAGATAAATCGAAAGAGAAGATATTTCTCTACCGATCGGCAATATAATACGTCAAAATTTAATGAGAAATGACTTCAGAGTTTCGTTTTTTAAATCCACGTCCGGAATTCATCTGATAGATCAATAGCTGGTCAATCAGATGTCAACTGATTTCAATGGTCTTGAGTGATTTCTCTATAAGGGTGAAAATTGTACCTCTTACCATCGTTCCTATCAAAAGTTATTCGAAAAATAGCTACCGGCGTTCTTTTTCTTTTTAACATTGATAGTAATCGATCATGTTTATTTATATCCGAAGAAATAGCTAAAACAAATAATGCAATCTACCAATGAGTACTTGCAAAAGGTGGAAAAAAGAGACAGATTTCGAAACGAATATCATATTGACACCCATTATAGATTGTGGTTTGTTTTTGAAAACGATTCTCTTAATATTTTTAGTAAAAAAGCATCATACATAATTAAAAACCAAACTAACTACCTGTATCCGTGAAGTGTTTGTGAATCTATACAGTTTTTATAGATATCCTCTGAATATCGATTCGAATGTTCATAGTCACATGAACGAAAACAATTCAATGTAAATCAGCTTGAAGCAATCATGAAGTCTAAGATTACTTCTTGAATAAACAAAAAAAACATTCTTTCTGTAAAAATTGATAGTTAGGCGTATAATAAGAAATGAAGAAAATCGATTTAATTAATAATAGTTGATATACGTCAAAAAGTACTTTCGAATTAGATCATGAAAACTTGTTCTATGATTATTTGATTTTACTTTTAGTTATAATGGAGAAAGAATTGATTTAGACAAATCACAACTCGATTCATTCTTATCTTACGACATATAAAATCATATTCAAAATATAAATATCAGAACGTTTTGACTTTGTGAAAATCAAATGGGTTTAATTATTTCAAATCTCATGGATTTTCTTATTTTTGAGTTCACTGACAATACATGTATCTGAAAATCAGAATACGAATTAAAACCTACATATAACTAATCAACTTGGCTTCATAAATCATTATTCAATAAGTGCGGATGTACAATAACATTTAAACTATACTATTGCTTTTATTTAATAGTAGCTTTCTACAATGCAAAAGAAATACAATACACTTCAATTTTTTTAAGGTTCTTGTATGGTTGGAATTCGATTTCTTATATAACGCAGAATAAATAATCCAAGACGAATAATAAATAAAATACAACAAATAATAAATAAACCCAATGTATAGAATGCATTTCTATCAGAAATATCATTTCTTTTATTATTTTTTGATAGAATACCTAATATAGCAAATATTAAAACAAACCATGGTACAAATGTATATGCCATTGAAGAATAAAATATAAAATTTTCACAAATAAAATAAATTATTATTCCAACAAGTACAATAGCAAGTGCTGCAGTCGATGTATAAGTTACTAATTGAGCATTTTTATTATATATTTGTGAAATCCAAATAGTTAAATTAAGTAATGTTGCAAGATAAAGCCATGTACCATAAACAGCTAAACCATTATGAACTAATATTCGTACAAGCCAAATATCTAGTTTTCTATAAACACACAAAAAAAAACAGAAGGACAAAAAAGAAAACCATCTAAAACAAATTCTTACCGTTTTGAATTAAAATAAATTAATCGATTTGGTTGGAGAAGAATATGAGTTATAATCATAGGTATAATTATAGTTATAAACATTAAGAAAATGACGATTGATGACCACTAAAATATATAGTCGAATCAATTTGTATTTCATACTAATACTTACACCAAAATATCCTCGATCCCACATAAATAGCCATCCAATATTAAGAATCATATTAATTATATAAAATACAAAAACTGTAAAATGAAGTGTATTTGGAACAATATATAAATAATTTATATATGATTTTCTTGGTATTCGAGTAATAGCATAGATTAACCATGCTGCTTGCCAACAATAAATGATACTCCATATACTAAATGTCCAATCTTGAAAATTTACAAATCAACTTTATTTATTTCAACATCATTATTAACTTACCGGCAGGTGTAAATTCCGTCAGATTATTATGACTAATACTTCCTGCACGTTGTGTAAATATACCTAAAAAGCATTATTTATTCGTAATCATTGAATTTTTTTTAAAGAAAAATTCATACCATTAGAACCACTAGCAGCCAAACGATTAAAAAAGCAAGTGATTATAAAACTAATAAATGCTAGTAGAATAAGTATAATACGCCAACAACTGTGTTGAAAACAAAAATGTGGATATACTTCTTCTATGACTAAATCTCCTATCAAAAACAATTGTGTACTCAATATCAAAAATATTTTTTTTCCACATACCTAGAGTTGATTCTGAAAACCTAATCATGATTTATATGTATTATAATCTGTCTTTATTTTTTTCTATAAATATATATGGTCTGTTTTTTGTTACATAGACAGTTGTTTTTCATATTTTTAGGTATAAAAAAAAATACATACGGATTTTTCTTTCCTATCTATATTGGTCCTTGGTAGTTACATAAATTTGAACAACAAAACAATAGTACCAAGGTTATCAGTCACATGCTAAAAAACAAAAAAACAACGAATAAATAACTAGATGCAAAAATAAGGAAAAATATATGTCGTACAGTAGAAATATGTAAAATAATCATGGTTTTTATGCGCAGATCTTCGAATGAATGTTATGTTTGTAACTTATTTCACCTAAAAAATCGTAGCAATATCTTTAAAATTACTGTATCATGAAAAAAATCACTATTGAAATCTTCTAGGAAGTCCCTCAAATCAATTGTAGTTGTAGTATACCAATCATATAGCAATTCAAAAAAAAAATATAAAAACCATATAGTTCGCAATAAGAATTATTCTCTTTAAATAAAAATATGATGAAAGAATTTAAAATTAAATTTTTATCTTACATAGAAATGTTCATACCGCCACTCAGATGGTCATAGAAATATAAATTAAGTGTCAATGGACATCTCTGATATTGAATCATGAGATAGATGTGAGTTATGGTATAACAGAGCAACCTTTATATCACAATCAAATGAAGGAACATCAGCATAAAAGTCTTGACATTTGCCTATGAAGAATACTTTCGAATCAAACGAGAAACTAAAATAATCGATCGATAGAGCCAAGTGTTTAAAATGGAATTGTATCTGTTCAAGTTACAACACTAATTGAAATAGTGATATAAAGTATTGTTTTGAAGAAGTCAACTATCACTAGAAGATGTCAATTATAAAGTATCCAATATGATCGATACAAAAACAGTAGGCTAAAAGAAAATAGAATTCAGTCCGAACTCTTTATCATCGTATTCTTTGTATGGCTCTTTCACTGAATTCCGAAATCGTCTGATTTCTTTTTCAGGACTTTTTCTACTACACGAAATCAAAATAAAGACTAAATATGCATGTCGATTTTGAATTAAGATCATCATTAAAGTCATTATCAATGCGTTTCTTTCTTTTCAATGAATATGAACTAAAATTAGATGCGATATTTTATGTACGAATGATGCCATAAAAAAGCAAATTTATTTTAATCGAATTTGGCTCATCGTTTATTCTAATATTCATTTTTGAATGACAGTTAATTAATTAGTATCAATAAGAGATGTATGATTTAAAGATAAAACAGGAAAATATATAGACTCATGTACTAAAATCTTCAATATTCGTGAGAAATCAGCGTTTTATAGAGCGACAACCAACACACCGTCTCTCTCATGTACAGTACACAACAGACTGGAAACTGGCTCTGTGTTTTTCGCCTAAACCTATTGATTCAAAGTCTTAGCTCCATTGACAAAAAATCCTACTGCTTCAATTACACAGTTGAACCTGCCAATCAACAGATCACGAAAACATGAAAATCGATAGAAACAAGCGAAAAATCACCAAGGATCTTATGTAGGCAGACATTTTAAAAAGTTGCACTATGGTATCAATTGATATGTGAAATGATTCCGAAAAGTAAGATGAAATCGCTTATAAATGGACTCAAACGCGTCATGATTATGATTATGAAAAGAAGCTCATTCATACCTATGCAATATTTATCATTATTACAGATCGTCCAATCATAAATTAGATACAATTTTCTAATACGATATAAATACAGAACGAATACAACATGTAAACAGTTTTCCTTATGTTAACATTTAGGGAGATCCTTAAATAAATATGTGTAAAGAAAAACTTCGGGTATTTCATAAAGATGCCCTATTTTATTTGATTATTATTGTTTGTCAAGTCCGAACAGAAACCAAATTTTGAACGATCTATTGATCTAAATATTTAGTGCTGTGTTTCTTCTCCATCGACAATACCAACCTTCTTACGTGATGGAATACAAGCCGTTTCAGGCCGAAAAACTCGAAAAAATGGTAAGAACTTGGAAGTAGAAATTCGGCCACCAGATGTGATCCTCAGATTTCTTCTTCCAAGTTTTTGCAATTTCTCGAGATTTCCGGCCGAAAACAGTGTCTTTCCCATGAGAGTCTATCGGAAATTCATAGATCTGGGAATCGAAATCATTGACCTGCATTGCCAGAATCGCCAAGTACTTGAAACTAGACTCTTCGCACGTTGACTGCCATCCTGCCGTTACCATTGTTGTCCTTCATCATATATGGAATTCGATAAGTATTAGAATCTTACAAAATCAAACTTTTTGACTTCGAACCCAAGTTCGAAATTTTTTAAAATTTTGTCTCACTAAGAAGAACCGGTGCCTAAAAGAAGATTTATTCTTATCTCACGATATATCAGATAGTATTCACAATGTACTCATCAGAACCTTTTTGTGAAAGTTAAACAGTTTAATTTTTTTCAGACTTCATGCATTGTTTTTCTGATTTTTGAGTTGGCTGAAGATGCACGCATCCAAAAATCAGAATACGAATTAAAATCTACATATAACTAATCAATTTGTCTTCATAAATCATTATTCAACAAGTGCGGATGCACAATTACATTTAGACTATACTATTATTTTTATACAATAGTAGTTTTCTACAATCCAAAAAATAGAAAATACAATAGAATTCAATTTTTCAAGGTTCTTGTATTGTTGGAATTCGATTTCTTATATAACCCATAATAAATAATCCAAGACGAATAATAAATAAAATACAACAAATAATAAGTAAAGCAAGTACATAGAATTTATTTCTATCAGGAATATCATTTCTCTTGTAATTTTTTGATAGAACACCTGACAGGGCAAATATTACAACGAACCATGGTACAAATGTATATGCCATTGAAGAATAAAATATAAAATTTTCACAAACAAAATAAACTATAATTCCAACAAGTACAAAAGTAAGCGCTGCAGTCGATGCATCAGTTATTGATTGAGCATTTTTATTATATATTTGTGAAATCCAAATAGTTAAATTAAGTAATGTTGCAAGATAAAGCCATGTACCATAAACAGCTAAACCATTATGAACTAATATTCGTACAAGCCAAATNTTAAATAGGCTGATTATGTTCCCCATCTTGCGATCTATCTCTGGTAAAAATTTCAGGTCTCTATCACATTCTGGTGAAGAGATATTATAAAAATACTGATGGTTGCCGGCCACGCAAAAAAATTAAAATTTAATAAAAAGGCATTGTGGGGCTTTTAAGTCGGTATCTCGTATCTCAGCCAAAATTCAAGCTTTAGGGCTAAAAATTTGGATTTATGCCTAAAAAAATGTCCTCTACAAGATGGGCTAACTCCCATCTCGATCTGCGATTATCGATTGAGCAGATCTGGTCGTGGTTCTCGTGCAGTGGCTCCTAGGCAGCGAAAAGATTTTCACTACCGTGTTTGAGCATGATTCAGACATATCGAAAATCCAACATTCATGAAGCTCTTTTTTCAAAAATGGTTGAATGATGGCGAGATCGACGAGGAGCAGACAGTTATCCATGACGAATCTTCTCCATGGTTTCGCGCATGGTAGATTGATTAGTGATCTCAATACAGTTCAACTCTTTTCGAATAAAAGACTTCATGAATACACAATATCCAGCATGTCTGAATGATTCTCATACACGGTAGTGAAACCATTTTCTTTTTATAAAGAGAATGAAGCTATTGAAGTAGACTGCAGTGAATTTCAGTAAAAATACACGCTCTACATGATGGTGTAGGTCAAAAGATCCACGAACACAGTGCTGGATGAGTTGCACAAACCTTCCGGACAATAAGATATGTCGGAGTCCGATGCAGAGTTTTAATGAGAATGTACATGTTTATTTAATTGCAAGGCTGACTCAAATCGGGTATTTGTATTAAATATAAGAATTTCACTTTCAAGAATAATCTAATGATAACATCAGCTAGCTAGGTTGTTCGTTTCTTTTTGTATAGCTTCGGGATTTTTTTCTCGTAAGATGGCGCCAGTCGCCGATCGTTAGTTATTTATTAATTTCAGCTAATTAACATCAATTTTTTCTATTTTCAATAAAAACAACTTAAATAACATTTTTTTATTAAATAAATTTTAATTTCAAAATTATTCATATTCAATTATAAAATAAATCAAATAGATAAAACTTCCTCTCAAAAAGAATTTATATGATTTATGTTTCAAAGGTTACACAAACATGAGTCAGGAAGTGGTGGCAGACTAACACTATAAAAACTATTACTCATTGGTATATATCATTGTTAATCTTAGTTGGCTATAGAACTGTACACGCCACGTCATAGTGACAAAGAGATAAATATTAGTCATGCACTTTTTTCGATTCTTATTATGCAAAACTTTGTTTTGTATGTATCTGATCAGAATTTTAGACTGCGCTACAACCATTCTCTATTGTTGTTATTTTTTTTTATTTTCTTTCATTATCAATGAATTTCCTCTTCCTTCAAAAATGGCGATGTATTTGCAGTAGAAGGAAAGAAGAATTATATGACTAGTATTACACTTCAATCCTTTATATTTGCCATAGAAATTACGAGAAAATTCTTAACGTCGGTTACAAATGTTGATTACATTTTTTTCCTTTCTTTTATCTTTCCTTTTTTTTAACTTGACTTCTTACGCTATATAAAATATGTTTTTTTTTCTTTTAGATATTTTTTTGTTTCATATTAGCATAAATTCTATAAAACATGGTACATGCTATTACATCACTTGAAGAACTTCAAGCTGTAATTAAAAATGAAAAAAATAAAGGCAAATTAATTGTATTGGATTTCTTTGCAACGTAAGTATTTATGAAAAGTTTGTAAAACAAGAAATATATATATGTATTAATTAGATGGTGTGGACCATGTGTACGTGTAGCACCAAAAATTGAAGACTGGAGTACTGGTGAATTCAAAGATAAAGTAGTTTTTCTTAAATGTGACGTTGATCAAGCTGAAGCTGTTTCACAAGAATATAATATTGAAGCAATGCCAACATTTGTATTTATTAAAGATGAAAAAGAAATTCATCGAATAGTTGGTGCCAATGTTGAACAATTAAAAGCCGATATTGAAAGCAAGAGTAAATAAATAATGGCAATGAGAATGAACTTTAATGAAAAAAAAAAACAATGCATCTTTTTTTTAATCTATATCTATTCTTATTCAACAAGTCATTTTTTTTGGTTATTCAATTTTGTGTTGAACATTTTTCTTTAGTCTGTTAAAACAACTATTCGCTTTAGAAAATATTTTACACTCATCAAAAAAACAATTATTACAACTCTTTTCTTAACTTAGCTATAAATAAAAGATCATATTTATATATCTTGATTTTTTTATTCTTATCAATTATTATGCTGATAAAAGATAAGACGATAAAAACAACCTCAATAGAAATAAAATGTGAAGCAAAGTGATGAAATTATTTGCTATAAATATGAATAATTCAGTTTGTGAATTTCTATATGTTATGATGAAATTAAATGCATAACGGCAGGTATATCAGACAGAAATCGTAGGCTTCTTAATCTTTCATACTGATATAAAATGAAAAATAGAATCTAAATTTCTATCAAATGATCACTCTAGAAATTATATCAATATATTTTTAAGAACTTTTTGGATAAGACAAAATGCGAAATTTAGTGTTTGATCATGATTAATTTAGTCTTGTGTTTTATTTTATAATAATAAACAAAATCTAAAGTTACATGTTTAAAAATGTTACAATTATGAACAGCATTGCGTGTTTTTACATTTCAATGTATTTTTTTTTCTGTTATCTTTAGAAGTTTTCTTTGAAAGTAAAAAAAAGATATTTATATTCATAGCAATCATTTCAATGACATTATTAATTTATTTTGATGTTGAATAAATAGTTGTTGACATTTTCAGCATGCTTTCATTCTCTAATGATGTCAAATAAGTATAATTAAAAATTTTTCTTCTTCTAAAAATCCATCTGGACAAATTTATTCAAGAGAAATAATCTGCGATAGTATAATCAGGAAAATATATTTGAATGATTAGTCAACATTAAGGTTTGAGATACTAAATTCGGATATATAATTACAATAAGCATTATATAACACAGGAGCTAAAGAAAACGCCCCTTATATATATACTTTAGAGTAGTAATGTGATGATTAGAGTACGAAAAAAATTTCATTAAGTATACTTGAATAATAATTTTGCCTTTGGCACTTTTCTTTATGTTGTACAGTTCAATAGCAGATGTAACAGCTAAAGATTGATTTATTATAAAAGATTTTATTCCTTTTTGTTTTTATTATTTTATGCATCCACTTTGTGAAATACACTGCAATAGTCATCCTTGAAAATGACGACATGTGTCATTTTGATATATAATAAAACATCCAGAGCATAAATATCCTTGGAACTAATTGAATGCATTCAGAAAAGATTCTAAACTTTTAGTATTCATTTCTAATTATGAATGAATGGTAAAATACATTTTCTTTCTTTTTATTTTAATTTACCGATAGAATTATATGCTTTTTTTGTAAATCTAAATAGTATTTTATGGTTTGAAATCTCATTATCGTGATAGTTACCGTTATAATCATTTCATGCATACTTCCTGTCATTGAAAATATCACATACAATATCTATTAATTGTGATAATCAGTAATTTTTTTTTTGTCTAGTAAAATATTGCTTCTTCACACTTTCTACTTTTTTTCCTCGTAAGTATCTGCTGAAATTGTGTGACACAATGGAAAATATCTAATTACGTTTTTCTCTGTCAGCATCAAAATGATATAAAATAGTAAAATTATTTTTCAAACTCATTATAAGCACTTAGTTTGATTTTAGGAAATGAATTTGATATGGAAATTTATCTTCGAGAGAGAAAATTAGTTTCGTTGAATCACAGATTACTCAGGGGACAAGTAGGTCATCACATCAAAGAAATTTGATCTATTGAGAACAAAAGCATTTTTACATATAGTTTATTTTTTTCGTCCAATGAACTTTACTAATATAGATACCTGAGACGATTCTATTAACATTTATTACTTGTACTTCAAGATAGAAAACTACTTCATCATAACCAAAATAATCTTATTATCAATGAAAAATTTTTAATTATTTGCTTCAAGGTTCGTCAAAAAAAGCTTCTTAAGAATGATATAATTTTTTTCTTCTCTTTACAGATTAGTCTACATTTATTATAACAAAAATATTTGCTTAATTAACTATTCTTTTTTTATTTTGAAATACTACTATATGTTTTTTTCTGTCTGACTTTAGAAAAATAAAATATATATATATATACATATACAAGAAAAAAAAATGAATTATTCTATTATCTACGTTCGATTCTCTCGACAATTCGGACAAAACCATTTTCCTTTTGGTGTGTTTGTGAGATTAACACAATTAAAATGAAACCATTTTATTCCACATGTTTTACTATCACAAAGAATCATTGATCCATAAGAAAGCTAAAAATAAAAAGAAGCATAATTCAAAATAAAAAAAAAAAGATTTTCTTTTTTTACTTGAGAACATAAACAATAAGTTGTTTCATCGGGTGGTATTGTTGATGTATCATTATTTATTCGCATTTTTTTCCCATTGTCATTATTTGAATTTATATTTCGTTGTACAAGTTTTTTTCTATCACGTTCATTACTATTCGATTTTTCATTTTGTTCCAGATTTATCATAAATTTTCGTTTCCATAATGGACGATGAGATCCTGAAGACAAAACAGAAATATTCGTTTTTAAATGTTATTGATATTTTTGATAATAAATATGAAATATACCAGATTCAGAATCAGTATCATTTGAATTATTATTATTATTTAATATCGAATTTTGTTCATTGGTTGATTCGACTAGAATAATGAAAATACAATATGAAATAAGTAAATAAAAACAAATCATTTTACTATGGTTTTGATAAGCTATTTTAAGTTTTTTTGATTGTTGTTCAGTAGCATCAAGTATTTGTTGACTTAGTTGTATTTTTCTATCACCAATCATTTTTGCTTGTTGTAATATGTTGATTAACATGATTTGAGTGGAAGATTGAGATTGCTAAAATACATAATTTTAAATAATAAAATTATTTAAATTATTTATTTTACTGATTGTTTGTGTTGATCATCATTTTTAACACGTAGATTTTCAATTAGTTCTCGAACACGATGATAATAATCTAAATTTTCAAAGTAAAAATTGTGCGAGTTGCCATAGGGAGGGTTGGATACTTTTCGATCGCTGACAAAAATGAATATTTTCAGCAGAAATCGAACGCTCAGCGCAAAAGTGCTCCTCTACACAGCAAAAATCAGACTACACGGACATCGTACCCTACTAAAAATGGATTTCCATTAGAATAATGTTGTTTACAATAGAAAAAATGATAGATAATTGTAGAAAACTGTAAATGTTTCAAGAAAAATGCCTTGCGTCATTCTAATCAGTATTCTTATTTCTACCCATCATTTTTCCTATCGAAGACAGCATTGTTCCAATGGAAATTCATTTTTAGTAGGATACGATATTCGTATAGTCTGATTTTTGCTGTGTAGGGGAGCATTTTTTGCGCTGAGCGTTTGATTTCCGCTGAAAATATTCATTTTTTCTAGCGGTCAGATTGTTGTTCACTGCTGACTTAAAGACAAGCAATAGAATTTAAAAGTAATTGCAAAAAAATCCTCAACACATAGATAATGCGCCCGTAATTCAAAAATTGACTACAAATATCAATTGCAATATTTTTACATGGTTTGATAGAGTTCGTCGAGGTCTGCACGAATATCTATATGAGTTTTTTTTTTTAAAGAATAATATTGAGTGAACAGTGGAATCCATTGGATAGAAACTGGATCTAAAAATGTTGGCTCCTATGGGCTTTAGTCACCGAATACAAAAAAAAAATAGAAAACAGTATCTCATATCTTCGAAGCAACTATCCAATTTCGATTAGGAGTTTTCATTGAGAGTATCAGAATATGGTTCGACTGGGTTTTAGTAGGAAAATTTTAAGTCAAACGGGCTCTAGTGAACAGGCTAATAAATTGGATTTGAAAACCCAACAGAAACGTAAATATACCGTCGTAAATCTTCAAGCTAGCGAGACTTGATACATTTGATGCTAATGTATTTTTAAGTGCAATTAACCTGCCTATTTTCTCAACATTATTCTTACAAATATTTTTTTTTGATATGCACATTCATGTACAGCTAGATGAGTTCTCTCGAGCCATGTAAAAATATTACAATTAATATTTTTAATTGACTTTTGAATAACCGACACATTAGTAAAATCTGCTTTCAATTTGAACTAAAAATTTTCTTTTTTTTTTTATCGAAATTTAAGAACACATATGCTCCATTTCGATATTTTCTTACCTTTTAAATAAATATCAAGTTGTCGAATTTGTGATAATTCAGAAAACTCAATTCCATTATCTAAATAATCAACAAATGTTCGCATGTAACGATGAGCAGTTGTTTCATCAGTTACTGTATTCAATCGATTATCTGCTGCTGTTGTTAAAGTACCCATTGAAAAAGAAAAATCTAAAACCCCAAGAAAAAAAAAACATAAGGTAATCCCAATAACCTGGAAAATTTAAGAAATTTCTTTAAACATATAAATAATTAATGAAACGGTTATAATTGAAAAAATTGCGAACAAAAAAATAACTTTATTTGATGTCCAAACAATACGACGTGGCTTGGTTTTTTTTACGGATGAATTTCGATTATTAGTTATTGTTTTCTCAACATTTGTATTCTTTTGATTCTTTCGATTTATTATTGAATTATCAATTTCAACGGAAGGTTTTGATTCTTCAACTATGGATTGAGCAATTGGAGGATTCGATGTTGTTGCCATTCGATTCTTTTTTAATTCAATACATACTTTATCACATGGTAATCGATAATTTTTAATTGTATTTATTTCATAACATGGTAATTCTTTATTCATACGTTTACATCCACAACGAACTTGAACTAATTGTGAACAACTGCTAACAGATGAACATGAACCTGAGTGACATGAATAACTACATGAATGACCACATGCAAGCTAGAATAGAAAATTTCAATGATATATCTTTAGATACATATTGCATTTATTATGAATTCACATTATATTTCCTAGGAGACTTGAGATGTAAAACATGAGTTCATCTATTTACAATAAGACGCTATTGATCAACAACGTGTGCAATGGTCTGTGATGAAGAGAGGGAATGTTACCAAGGCGTCTATCATGATCCGAAAGGAAGGAGGGGCGAATTTCTACTCTCTATACCTCAACACTTCTTTTAGATCGTATTTTACATAATAAGACCAACGTATTGTTGATGTTTCTTCTATAACACTAAGCATTTAACACACATCCAGAGTTAAAAGTCATGAATAAAATGAGATACTGTTGCATTTTCTACGACCTTTCGTTAAAAAGTTCTAAGCATAAAAAGATGCGCTTTTTAGTAATCTTAACGAGTGATTGAAAAATGATTAGACAAAATGTGAATTCATTTTTTAGTCTTTATAAAGAACCTGTAGAAATTTGAAAATATCAAGTTAGAATCAGGTTTTTCTGTTCGTTCTAAATATGGGTTTAAAATTTTTACAAAACTTCTAGTTTAAGAGTTACGAGCCGACCTTTTAGAAACTCGTTAAGTAAGTTTGAATGAACTTTAGTGCACCAAAAAATTACTCAAAGTAGAAACGAAACTTATTTCAAACATAGCGAATCAAAGAGTTAACATGTCTCAATTAAAATAGACTTGTAAAGAGAGCTCGGCCATTCTTGAATAATTGTTCTAATACTCTTGATTCTTATATCACTTTGTAGAGAACAAATTCATCTTTAATTTTATGCAAAAGAATCCATAATATAGCATAGGCAATAAAGAAGATTATAGCAGCGTGGAACATCGATTTTCTCTGTCCAAACTTAATTTACAGACCTCTAAGAGATCGACTCATAACTCCTAAACCATAAGTCCCGCAAAAGTTTTGAGTCCAACTCAATGTTTTCAAATTTCCACAGACTCTTTAAAAAGGTTGAAAAAACGAATGATGCTATAAAGCGCATTTTTTTTAACGCTTATTACTTCTTAAGGAAAAGTCGTAGAAAATGCGACAACTCGTTATTTTATTCAAGATTTTGAACTTTTCAAGACGATACTATTAAAAACTAATTTTTACATAGTCTTCTCGGACCTGAAAACCGTCGTGTTTGGTTTTTCAGAAACCTTCTTCTAATAGTCCATTTATGAAGTTTCAATATAAAAAAAATAAAAAATACACTGATCTTATGTTTTTGATCAGGATTTTATATACTCCATGTGTTGAAAATAGGTTTTCAAAATGACTGAATTTGTTTACCTTTTTTGAGCATGGTTTTCCACATGATTTCAGTTTTTCTTTTTGTTCATCAATTGCATTTGTAAATGTATGACAATCACTATAAATCACTTGTGTATTACAATGACATCTCATACGAAGACGTTGTTTACATGGTGGACATTTATCTGGATGGCATGCTAATGGACAGGAATGTTGACAACCTAATGGTCGCTCTTTTGTGCACATTTCTTCGCATTTAACACATTCGGTACCAGCCTAAAATATTACATTAAATTTAGATAATAATAATAATAAAAATGTTTTCTTACATCAGTTTGATTTGATACACCAGTAACAAGATGACATGGACGATTACATAAATGATTTTGACATTTTAATATACGACTACATAATTGACCACAACAGAATGGACGTGCTGAAGAGCATGGAAAGATTTGAGACTAACAGAAAAAAAAAACGAAAGTTAAAAAATTATCTTTTACAAAAATTTACAATGTACCGTATGTTGACCAAAACAAAAAACTGTTGTCGGAACTTGACATGGTGGACAAGATAAAGATTTTTTTACCAATTTTTCTTTTTCTTTTATTCCCCATGGTGTATTTGAGGAATTTATTTCTTCTTTAACGAATACTGAATCATGACATGTTGCTGAACATAAATGTGAACAATCTTTTAATGGTAAATTGCATTGTTGTTTACAATCAGGACACTGGTTAAAATGGCATAGATGTGGTTCCCGTTCAGTATGATGACAATCGGATGGTTTCCTATTAAAAAAGAAAGTTTGTTTGTTTTTGATTAAATTGACAAAAAAAAAATAATTAAAACTTACAAACATAATTTATTACAACGTGGTTTTCGAGTTTGTTTTTCACAACCACATGGAACAGTTACTGATGTTTGTCCACATGCACATGTAACATCAACTTTATGTGTACATGGATAACATTGACCACGATGACATTCACTAAGACACTTATGATTACGACAATTAAGTGTTCTACCACAAATTGTTTGACAAGGTGGACAATTCCCATCACAACACTATTTTTGTTTCGGAAATTCAAAAAACAAAATTCTATACATGTATATAAGCGATAGGGACAAAATTTTCCATACAGTATCTCACGAAGAAATTTCTCGAGGCGTCAAATCACTATTAAACTGAGACGATGTACATTTTTATGAGTAATAAAAAAGTCTAGAATGGTTTGGTTTTACAAGCCTTCGTTGTTGAGATATCGAATGTTTACCGAGTTTTTCAACAAATAGCTGTAGGCTATCGCCTGTCGCACCAGAGTTTCGACTTCAAACTTTGCACAAACAAAAGTTCTCAATGAGATTAAATGATTGTGCAAGTTGTAGTTATTTTAGTATTTCTTTTGTGGAAATGTAAATATACGAAAGAATATCGAATGTTGAATGTGTCAAAATAGGAGATGCTAAAAAGTTACAAAAATCGTCTCGAAGTTCTGGAAAGAGCTGATGTTTTCTTGAAAGTGACTCAATGATCTTTTCTATCTTCAGGCACACTCACACCTCATCGAAGATTGAGCTACAGCTTGACATCAGTGGATCACCTTCTTTTATTCTTAAAGCTGTGCTTTTGTAGTGAGTCTAAGAAAAAGTTGTTGAGTGTATTACTATAATGTTTTACTGGTAAAGTTCAGAGAAAATTCTCACCCAAAAGTAAAAAATGAATGAGGGTGTTACCTATAAACAGATTGTTTATATACAACTGGATACTGCTCGTAAAGATCTAGGAATCCATGAAATTAGATTTCTTATCATAAACTTTCATTCCTCATAAGAGCAGTCGAAACTTCATGTAGATTTCCATGTTGTTCATATGCTCATTAGGCAGACAAGATCATTCGAATCTCTGTCTTACAAAAAATAATTGACTTTCTATAAAGCTCCAACACCGGTATGCAGAAGAAACAATAACAATGCACAAATTTTTTCATCACACACTATATCTCTGTTCTTTTTCATACTTTACGTTTACATGGATGTCTACCACATGAACGCATACGTGTACATTTTGTTTCACAGAGATATTCTTGACAACATGGAATTAATTTTTCTTTTAAACCACAACGGCATCGTTTTAAAGTAACCTGTCGACACTGAAAGAGATTAAATTTATTATTTTAAATAAAAATATAGAAATAAAATTATTTTTCTTACTGATTCACAATAACCAGTATGACATCGATGTAAGCATCGATGAAGACCACAATCAAGTTTTCGATCACATGTATCACCACATGTTGGAACATCTTCCGAACATGGTAAATTTTCATATTCTGAAAAATAAATATTAACTAGAGTTATAAGCTGATAAAAGAATCGTTTGTATCGGCTACAATTTTTTGCACAATGCAAAACAACATAGTGAAGATTTCGAAAAGAAACTAGATAATGGCATCTATTTAAAACGAACGAAAAGATCGAATGTTGACTTTTTTGGCAACAATTGCGGTTTAAGTATTGTTGCTTAACTGTCAGCAATGATATATATATATATATCGATAGTAGTATTTAACACATAGAAACTACTCACAGGATTTATAATTATTGTGGAACTCATATTATGTTTTTTGAAGAATGCTATACTGGGTGTAAATTTTAAGGCGAGATTTTGTGCGTCCCGATCATAGCAACGGGGGTCAAGGATCAAAAGCTAATAAATATGTTTTTCTTAGCAACAGAGAAATGTACTAAATGGTATTAATAACAAAGCTTAGACTGTTGTAGAACTTCCTCGGATCTGAATAGCTGGAATACGTTTTTTCCATTGCTTATATAAGAAACAAGAGTAAGAGAAAGAAAAAGAAAAAGAAAACAAGAGAAGACACGTAATGACAAGGGTAGGTTAAAATGTCATACATAAACAATCTACAAAAATCAAGGAATGAAAGCAGACAACAACACATCAAAAATAAACCGAGGGAATGACGCCAGTCGTCATATGATCAGTGTAAAAGGTGTGAACTGATCAAGATATAGAATACTGCGTTGAGACCTGTTGTAGATCAAATGAATATGTGCAACAACAAATAAACCAACGATTAGAATAAATAATCGTGTTAAATTCAGAAAAACAGAATACGAAAGCTAGCGAAAAGCAACAAGACACATAAAAAATAGAACTCCAGCAATAAATATGATAAATCGTTTCTCTGACGATCGATTATTAGTGGAGTAACTGGGATATCTTGGAAGTAATTCATGTAATATAGTGTCAATAATGGTAACCGTTACATCTTCTCCTTGTTCAGATAGTAGGACAGCATCGGGCCTAGGCCATCTTTGATCACACCACTATCAATGTCGAAACCAGGATTTTCGGCTGTGGGGCTCAGTCCTCCTACAATCATTCGGGTCTCCTTTTCTCCTGGCTCGATCACTAGGCACAATCGATTATTCTTGGAAAACATCTATAATCTTCTAGAGACTTTTCCCTTAACGTATTTTGTATCAGTACAATGAGAGTAACGAATACATGAATTTCATATTTTAGTCTTAAACGGATTGCTCTGACAAGTGTTTTCTTCTGTTTTGGTAAGCTTTTCACAAATGTATCGTTTTCTCTCATTTCTCTATGACTAAAATTAATAAATTAAATAACTATAAAATTCTTCCTTATACTGTATCTTCTATTTAAAAAAATGAATCTTACTTGTTTTTCCACATGGACATGTTCGTATGCCTTGTCGAGGACAAGAGCCACATTCATTTTTATGGCATATACGTTTACATTCGTGAATTTGACAATTTAATAATCGATTACATGGCTAAAACAAATAATATGAATAAATATTTATAAAATCAAAATTTTATTTTTCTACCTGATCACATTGAAAATTTAATTCGTTGCAATTTCGTACTGCCTTTGTTTTTCCACATAGACATGCTCGAACACTTGTTTTTTGACATGGTAAACACTCCCCATTATGACAAACCTAATCGAAAAAGTGTTTTTTATTAACTAATTTTAATAAAACAAAAATATTAAAAAAAAAAAAATAATACTTGTTCACATCGATGTTGATGGCAAGATAATAATTTTGAACAAATTTTTCCACATGACCAACCTTTAAAACCACAACGACGTGCTGTAGGACCTGATTGATTACAATAACAACGAACATTAACTTGTTTTGGACATGGTGGACATGGTCCTGGATGACAAAGTAATAAACATATATGACCACATTCAGGTACTAATCGTTTTCCACATGTTTGTCCACATGAATGTGGAATTAACCATGGATCAAATTGAGGATCAATTTCCTTTTGACAATAACATAAATAACGTTTTGGTGTATCCTTTTGATCAAATTCAGTTCGACATTTTGGACTAAAAAGAAATGATAAATTATAATCAAGGACGGGAGCGCATAAGTACTAATGAACAATTAGTAGCTCTAATTTCATTGCTTATGCACTCCCACGTTTTCTTTTTCTAAAGAAATTTTACCAATGCCAAGTATTTGTTTCATTATTATTGATTGCTGATGATTGATATATTCCATCTTTAATCCATTTTTGTATACAAACTATATGGAATGGTGAATAACAACATGAGCAATTCCAAATCTAAATTAAGAATTAAAAACCAATGGAAAAAGATTCAAGTGATATTCAATACGAACTGCATCAGTTTTTTGTATTATATCAATACATATTAAACATATATTAGCATCTGATGATAAGGAATCTATTAAATACTGATAAGTACGACCAAGATCGTCTGATGACCCTATTAAAAAAAAACCAAAGCTTTTTTAATATTGAGATATTTCGTGATCGATATTGGGAATAAACAGCATGTTAAAAATGGAAGAAAAATATTTCATTAAAAAATATAGGATAACACAATGCTCTTTATATAAAGTAAGATTATCTAGTCTCTTACCATCACTTGATCAATACTGCTACATAATCCGAAGATGGAAAACCTATTGAAAGTATTATGCAAAAGAAATCAACTATCAATTTACATTTTCTGAAAAAATTTATGTTCAATATTAAGTTCTAACATGCAAAGATTCTGATTAAATGTCTATCATATATAACTGAAATAATTTTTTATACATTCAATTGAACAGATACAATTCGTAGTCTGGTGTTGGATTGAATAAGCGAAGACAAGAGTCGTATCTACACCGATACTCTCATTCATACCACTGCATCATGTATATTAAAATCAATTTTCTACGCTTATTTTGTCAAAAGTGATTCAAATCAAACAAATAACATCGGTAACTTAATACTAGAATAGTGTGCTGTTCTCTAATCTGCAAATTACTGCCAATAGTACAAAGAAACGTGGGACACTAACTTTAATGTCTCCATATGTTTACCATGGAGTACGTGCTATACAAATGTAATCAATTCCTGTATTTTACGAAGTTTATCGTTTTCTCTAATATTTATGCAAAAAATTTTTCTACACGAAGAACTTCAATAACTCAATATTGAAAGATAAACTATAATATTGTTGTTTAATCATAATAGAATATATGTTTTTACTATACCAGCATTAAATGAATTCTTTGTTTTATTTAATACTTCTTCAATAAATTTTCTATCATCAACTGTATCTAAATTTGATGGATAATCTTCATTTGATAATAATCTTCGAATATTTTCTTGATTTGTCTTAGCAATTTCTTCAAATTTTTGTTTTCTACATAATCAGTAAAACAAAATAAAATATTCAAAATATAAAAAAAAAGAAAACAGAAACATACGCGTTTTTTGTATTAGACATATTCTATAATGAAAAAAATCAATTAGCCTTTTTCTTTGCTATCATATGGAGAGTATCAAACACCAATAGAAATGAAGAACAGAGGGTTAAAATTTCTTATACAATTGGTTGATTGGTTTATCTATTAAATATGAATCATCACATTGTGTGGCTATATCAAATTTGAAACAAAAGCTTATCCTTTTCCTTTTTTAGGTTTCAACGGTAATATAAAATATGTCAAGAGTACCTACTAGACGTGATCGGAGAGTAAGAGTTCCAAGTAAATAAAAAAACAACTGAAAAACTTTTCCAAACTTCTACACGAAACATACACCGATTGTTTGTGCTGTATGCGTTTGAATCATGTGTGTGTGTGTATCATGTAGAAGAAGCAGAAAAACATTATTAATTAATATTGTTATTAAATGAAATATTTTAGTTCGCATAGAATTTCCTGATTATACACGTGATCCAGTCGACGCAGCTACTGATAACACTTATATGTAAACAAAAACAAATTTCTGAAAGATATTTAAAAAAAATATATTTTTTTATGTTTTTCAGGTTACCCGATATTGGTGAAGAAGCAACTATTGATTATAATGGTGAGAGAGTAACTATTAATGTGAATATGTTAAATGATATACAAAAACTTGGATTTGGAAATTATGGAAGTGTTATGTTAGCTGAAGTACAAAATCATCCAGAAATAAAAATGGCTGTTAAAGTATGTTTGAATTTTTGAGATGAAAACACTATGTTAATTTAGATCATTAAGAATATAATAGTTTAGTTTATTTTGTCTTTGATTCGACGTATTCAGCAATTGTTTCAAATTGTTTTTATTTTACTTTTTTAGAGTAATGTTCTTCAATTTTGATTGGTGGAAAATAAAATGTATAAATTTCAATCGAATGATGTTTTAAGTTCATACGTTAGTGTGCTAATCAAATTTAAGAATATTCCTGGTTGTTCGGGCCACTTATGGTTCTCAGCGAGAGTACAGTTGATCAAGTTCAAATTTTTACTACAGTTAGATGAACAAAAATGATAGGACAAATGTTCAAAGACAAACTTTTAAAAGTAGATCTTCATGAGTATTTGAAGCGACCATCGAATCTACTTACGATTCCGACTTTAATTTAGCTGATGCTTGCCGTATTTTTCTAATAAAAAATCGAGACATTGATATTTTTCAACACCCTTAAAAATACGTTTAAGATTTTATGTCAGATACCTCCAGAAAAAAAATTTAGCCTAATCGAACAAAGTAAAACTGAGGTTGTAAGAAGAACTGCTAGTTTTTGAAGATTCTGTCAAAACCCTCGGAAGTAACAAATTCATATGATTCTTAACAATGAAAAATATATTATTTTTGAAACAACAGTTTTTAACTCATGTAGACTTCTTGGAAAATTTGACATCGTATTTGTTTCGCTAAAATTTTCAGCTCATTTTAAAAATTATAAGAGCAAATTTTACGGTTCAAATCTCTGTTTTTTGAGGACCTTTCCTTCAAAAACCTGACTGAACCTTTGAAAAACTGTTCGGCTCATGAAAATGTCTTAATAAAAAAAAAAAATTTCACGCCTCCATACCTTACCGTTCAGAAGATTTCCAGGGATCAAGTTGCATAGCTCGAATTGACTTCATTTAAAAGAGAACTCTTTATCACTTCAGATGAGGAAAACGCTTGTTATAATTTTTATTGTGTTTCATTTTTCGAAATCATCCAAACTTCAAAAATTTGGAAATGCTAGACATAGTGTCCTGGAAAATGCAGGGTTTATCTACCATTGAAGAGTAATTAGAAATTTAATTTCTCTCATCTGAAGGACTATGCATATATTTATCGTTTAGAAAAACACACAACTCTCTAGAATGAAGTATAGTAAAAAAAAACTTATCCGTAATTCGAACATTTCTGAAAACAAAATCAATTTTAATAAAAAAAAAACGCAAAAGGAGATTGTTTTTATATAGTCTTCTTATTATTACTTAACATATAGAAGAAGCATAAATGTATTACACGTCAATCGAAGCACTTATTCATGCATATTAGATTGTCGTTGTACGAGGTATATTACGATAGATGATGCTATCTACCATTGCTTTTATATTTGTTATATAATTCAACAACGTAACAAAGACAGAAGAATAATTCATCAATTTTTTTTTATTCAATTGCTGTCTTACAGGTTTTTTTTAAGGGCTAATAATGATCGTTAGTTTTTACTAGTAACTCATAAGAAATATGGTATTTAATTTTATCTAAGACATTTATGTTGAAAATACGAGTGAAGAAAAGATTCACACTAGCACCCTATACATCGCTCCTGTACACCCACACATTCAATGTACTTATTTCGGGACAGAGACAGGTTAAAATGACCTGATATATTCTTATGATTAACTATCCTCGTTAAGGCCTGCTTTTTTGCAAAGTGTCAAGTCAAAATTCGAAAATCAGATTTTCTAGTAATCTTCCGCGGAGGAGAACGATGGTATTGTATTGAAAAATATAATATATCGACAAGAATAAGCTATGAGTTTGAACTCTTCTATGTATTCATAACTCATTAGAGCCTATATGATGCACAAGCTTCCACCTAAAACACAATCAATCAGTCGTGGAACATTCTTTGTAGGACAAAATTTCTAAATTCATACGGGGAAATATTTTCTAACGAGTCAAGAGTGAACAAACATCTTGTCTAAAAACTTTTTCGATCACTTGCTATATAAATTAAATATGTTAAATGAACTATTTTTATTTTTAAATAGAGATTAGGTTTAATTCCGAGTGCTAACAACTTAGCTGATTATACAGCTACAACTGATTTGAAAACAATTCGTGCAGTTGGTTCATGTAATTTCCCACATGTCATCAAATTTTATGCTGGCCTTATTGATAAAGTTGGTATACATTTTTGGTTGTTTTGTTTTTTACATATTTATTTTTTCATCTAAATAGAAAGAAAGTCAAGTCGTTATTTGTATGGAAGCATGTGACACATCAATGGAAAAATTTTATACATCAATGCATAAAATAAAAGAAACAAAACATCTTGATATATTACTTAAACGTATGATAAATCATGTAAGAAAGAACAAAATTGATATAAAAAAAAAAGAAAACAGTTATTAAATCTTTTTCTTTTTTTTTTCTAGATTGTTGATGCATTACAATTTCTTAAATTAAAAGGAATCCTTCATCGAGATGTGAAACCATCGAATATTTTAGTTAAACAAGATCCTGTTATATTTAAAATTTGTGATTTTGGTATATCAGGTCAATTGACAAATTCCGTTGCACATACAATGATGAAAGGAACACAAGTTTATTTAGCCGTATGTTAGGAATTTTTAGAATAAATTTTAAATTGATTCTTTTACGTTTTTGTTCTTTAGCCTGAACGTATAGATGCAACTCAAGCACCTGAAGGTTATGGTATACGATCCGATATGTGGGCATTAGGTCTTTCAACAGTAAATAGAATATTTTTCTTTTTAGTTTTGCTAAACAAATATTTCTTTAATTTCTATAGTTAGAAATAACAACCGGTCAACATCCATTTGCTAAAATGAATGCAATCGGTATTATGAACACAATTAGTACATGGGTACCAGAACCACCATCAAATTTATCAACTGAATTACAACAACTCATTATTTGGTTGTAAGTTATTAAATATAGATAAACAATTTAATGAAAAAAAAAACTCTTTTTCTAAATAGTTAGTTTAAAGGAAATCAAAACATCTTTGAAAGATTTCTTCTACTTGAAATGAATAAAAAGTGAGGTCTTAATATTATTCCCTTCAAAACAAAACGACAATGTTCTGCATCTGTATTGTAAAATAATAAATACGAACTAAACTTTCATGTATGTCCAATTCCTTTCTAGAAAAAGATTCATTTAAAAAGTTATATACCAGTTAAATTTTATTTAAAATTACTTCAATAAAGTTTTGTCTCCTCTTCATTCGTATATATCTAATAATACTCTCATAAGAGACCGAGCATATATTAAATCTAATAGAGCTTCATACTCGATTCACATTCGAGTACTCGAAATCTAAGTTCGTAAGGAACAAAATAAAATTAAAATTAATCTTTGTAATAGTCCAATTGGCGAAGTCTGAAAGCAAAAACGTTTTTGCCATTTTCGTAAGATTCATATATGTCAAATGATAGGACATGATGAATTTAATATTATTAATCGATAGAAACTTTTTCACTCAAAAAGTATTTATCACAAAACTCGTATACTTTTCTGCCAGAAGAAATCGAAACATTAGCCTTTTTTTCCGGCATTGTTTGACCGATTTCATCATGATGCACATAAAGACAGAGAACAATCAATTGGTATACTTATGAAGTTTGTTGAGACACAATTTCTGAGAAAGTTGCAAAATTGGTCATCTGTGTCCTCTGGAGTAATATTGACGAATTCAAAACGTCATAAAAGCCAAAAATTACATCAATAGAGCTAATATGAGCATTATTAGATATACGCAGTTCAAGACTAGACAAAATTCTATAGAAATAACTTAAAACAAACGAGTTTCTCTATAAAATAGTATTGGTGACTTTTCAAATGAAAGTTAGTCATCCTATCTGACAAAGGTCCTTTATCAGATTGACCGAGACCAAAAACGGCTAGTTCCACTTATGTTTAATCACATTGATACCACATTATCAATGAGATTGTCAACAATATACAGACAAGATTATATCAGAAAGCCTATCGGATTAAATAAATAAGAACAGTAGCTGCTTTTTTTAAAATTAACTATTGATTGGAAGACAAAATGACTGACATTCTTACATGAAAAGTAACCTACTCTTATACTTTCAATAATATGCTTTAAATTTTTATTTTAATGAATAATGTTAATAATAAATCGAAATGAATGCTATTTTGAATTCTAAATAATATCCGATAATTTNTTCATATATGTCAAATGATAGGACATGATGAATTTAATATTATTAATCGATAGAAACTTTTTCACTCAAAAAGTATTTATCACAAAACTCGTATACTTTTCTGCCGGAAGAAATCGAAACATTGGCCTTTTTTGATCGATTTTTATCATGATGCACATAAAGACAGAGAACAATCAATTGGTATACTTATCAAGTTTGTTGAGACACAATTTCTGAGAAAGTTGCAAAATTGGTCATCTGTGTCCTCTGGAGTAATATTGACGAATTCTAAACATCATAAAAGTCAAAATTACATCAATAAAGCCAATATGAATATTATTAGATATACACAGTTAAAGACCAGACAAAACTCTAGAGAAATAACTTAAAACAAACGAGTTGCTCTATAAAATAGTATTGGTGACTTTTCAAATGAAAGTTAGTCATCCTATCTGACAAAGATCCTTTATTTTTTTGACCGAGACCAAAAACGACTAGTTCCACTTATGTTGAATCACACTAATACCACATTATCAATGAGATTGTCAACAAAATACAGACAAGATTATATCAGAAAGCCTATCGGATTAAATAAATAAGAACAGTAGCGGCTTTTTTTAAAATTAACTATTGATTGGAAGACAAAATGACTGACATTCTTACATGAAAAGTAACCTACTCTTATGCTTTCAATAATATGCTTTAAATTTTTATTTTAATGAATAATGTTAATAATAAATCGAAATGAATGCTATAATTCTAAATAATATCAGATAACTTTTTCAATATTCGAGATGAAACGCTTAATACTTCATAGGATATTTCAAAATCTAGGCTAGATTATTTTTTCGCGTCACCCATTCTTTTACTTATGTACAATATGGGACAGAGTTTATTACCTGCAAGGCAATTGGTGCATTTTGAATTCACTATGCATTCTTTGTAGAAGACAAATTATCTAACTGATAGTCTCAAAGTAAGTCATAAGAGACTAATAAATTTGACAAGCCAAACATGTAAATTTTCTTAAGATATGATAGAAATAACATACATCAATACTTCTGCTTGTAAAAAATGAAAAATAATTTTAATTATGATTTCATATTGATTCTTAATCTGTTTTTTTTTTGTGAACGAAAATATTATTTTTCTTTATTTAGATTAAGAATAAAACAAGTCGATAGACCAGCAACATATGAAGAAATTCAAACATCACCTGCTATGAAGTCATTGCCTGCAGAAATAACAAACGAAGAAACTGAAATGGTCAAAAATGTCATAGCAAATATTCCCGTTATACCTGATGACTATTAAAATATTGACTGTGATGTTTATTTTTATTGATTTCTCTTTATGTTATTGCCGAAATTGTCCTTGTTTTTTCTTGCCTATTTTTCTGCTACATGTTTTTTTTTCTTTGGCTCATTACCTTTTTTCTAAACTTAATAATACTTCGTTTATTAAAATAAAAGAAAACAAGAGAAAAAACTGTTGAACACAATCTCTGCCAGATTATAATGTGAAGCACAATAGAGCTGCTGATATGAAAAAAGAAGGAAGTCATCAACATAAATTTTGATTGGTAAATGATTACCTACTGTTAATGCATGTTGATGACGGTAGATGACAATTGTTACATGTTATAGTCAGTGTGAAACAAGAGCAACGGACAACTATCTAAAATTCAACTGTATATTATACAAGTTCCGCAATAGATTTCGGTCTCACTAGTATATCTACCATAGTTCATAAGAACGAAACGATGATACTAAAGTATCTGTTACAGTTTGTGACAAAAGACAGGCATTGCGAAAATGTTTAGCAAGGTTCATAATATAGAAAAGAATTTTGTTTGTAAGGAGCGGAGTTCAAATTTAGATCGTGTTTCACAAAAAAAGAATGTGTAGTACACTTGCTAGTGCCATCTTTAGTAGTGCATTTGTTTAACGTTATTCTAATTGGTTTAAAATGCATCACTATTGATAAAATACATACCCAGTCGGATCCATCGGTTCTTTTGGCTCGCCTGTACACGTGTGTACTGAGTGACTTCATATAGGGATTGAGTCTATGGCAATACATTTTCTTATTTTCCTTTCGTCTTTTGACATCATCACTCATCTAGAGAGTAGAACTAATAGCTGGATTTTATTTCTTAAGTTTTTTCTACTAGTTATATGTTTATTTTTTGTTAAACATATAAGTATAAATAGGTAACGTTAAAGACAAATTATGAATTAGTTCGAAATATTCTAGCCAAGATATAATTAGTTATTTTCATGTGTCCTTCTATATGAATTTTTCCTTTCTTGGTTGCATAGAGTGCAAGCGTCATGTTGACTATAGTTTATGTAATGCTAACAACAGCATGAAACAATGTACTGATTGCCTGATGATATTTTGCTGTATGTTATCAAATACGAATTTGAATTGAGTTTACATTTTATTTATTTTTGCATGCCGTTTCTTAGATTATTAATCTACAAACAAAAAAAAATACTAAGTATGACACCTAGTTTTTCGAATATATGATCTAAAGATTATCATCGTTTATCAAGAACAGTGGAAAGTTTACTTAATTTCTTTTGTATTCTGACTATTGCTATCCTACCACAAGGGATGTTATATAGTACTAGTAAAAATATCTTTTTCGTCGTAAATGAATTATCGAATAATAACTAAGTAGTATTGCTATAAAATGCAAGGCATATGCTACAGATGACAGTGTATTAGCTTGTTGAAATACTAAAATCATCAACAGTTTCTTTGATTTTTAGATTATATATACATATATGGCTCCATTTACTTTTACACTCTTTGCACCATATAATAAACAAGCAGCCTTAAGGGTTTGTTGTTGTTATAAATATTATTTATTGATTTTTTTTATGTTGAATTTTGAATAGCTAAAAAATGCTAGTGTTCGAATGTTTGGTGTTGATATTCGTAAGATTATTAAATAGAATATTCCTTTGAAATAATTCAAAAAATTTTTTAGTTATGGAAAAAGATGAGTCAAATGGCTATTTTCGAGCAACTGTAGATTTAGCTGATGGAATTTTTCATTATCAATTTAAAAGTAAAAAAGATTTGAACACAAATAACAAACAAAAAATAATGTATTCTTTACTATGTATATATATATAGTTCAAACAAAATCATGGTTTGAACAAGAACCAGAACCTGCATTACCAAATTATGATGATGACGAATATAAAGAGATGAGTAAGTTGTTAAAACAAATTTTTCTTTTAATAAATACTTGAAGATTTATTTCATGAAATTATTTATTCCTTTTAGCTCAAGAAGAAAAACAAGAAAAAACTCATGAATTTAGTAAACTTATTGATGAAATTCGTGAACGAAATCGTCAACGTGAACTCGAATCTACTTTTACAGAAATTTGGTATACATTTGTTGATCCCTATGCTACTGATGTTGATGAACGTGGTACAGGTAAATATTTTATTTATTGACAAAGGAAAATAATGACAAAAGAAAAAAAACTATAGATTAATTATGATCAACGACTATCTCATATCGAACAAAACATTTTGTCATCCCTATATTCATTTTGTTAATTATGTAAGAAGGTATTGGTTTTATGTTCATTTTGATAAATGAAAAAACGAACTTAAGCGAATTCTGTTCAAGTTCGTTTTATTTTTTTATTCAAAATATGACCAATAATGATTGATTGTTGAGATGTTTAGGGTAGGGTAAAGGTTACCCTACATATCTCAAATTGATTGCTTTTTAATCGAGTCTGTAACAGATTCTACCAAATGCGGAAGAACAGAACTATCTTTGAAAATTATTTTTTCGACATCTGACTCGTACTTTTGATGAATATTCCTATGGATAGTCAATCGCAAAAAATACAAGGTTCTCCAAAGACTTTTTTTTCGTCTGTAGAGCTTTGTCGAGCTCATTGTGATGATCATTTTCATACAAAAATATATTCAAATTTACTCAATAAATCATGGTGATAGGGCTAAAGTGATCAGTGCAACAAGCTCTACAAAGTTCTACAGACGACAAGATCTTCTGAAAACCTTATAATTTTTTTTTTGCGGTTGACGACCCATGAAAGTATCCATCAAAAAAATGAATCACAAACATTTTGTCATTGGTAGCATGGATTATATTGGATTCGATAGGAAAAGTGACAGTTGGTCGAATGACAACTAGTCGTGTGTTCGACAAAAGTGTAATTTTTACTTCACTTCTCACAAACTTCAATCATGAGATAGATTTGTAGATGAACTCGCTGGTAAACAACAATTGAATGTTGAAATTATTTTTTTCTTTTTGAATAATTTAGATGATGCACATAAAGCTGTTGGTATATTAACAATCAAAAATGGCAAACGAATTATCGGTATGTTTGAATCATTTCTAATTTCTTTAAGAAATATGTTCTATCATACATGAAAATTTCCAATATAAAAACTTTAAAAGATAAAATAAGTAATAGTTATTTTTAGATGAATATGAATGGAAATATGATAATTGTTTCTTACCACCTGATGAAGAACTTGTTATTTATGAAATACATGTTGGTGATTTTTCTGGTGGAGAAAATGACCAACATGCCCGTGGTCAGTTTAAACATGTTAGACAAAAAATTGACTATTTAAAAGAACTTGGTATTAATGCGAGTATGTTCTTTTATAGTATTCAAATAGAATGTAAAATATCAATTTTGTTTTCAGTTGAACTTATGCCCATCAAAGAATACCCTGGTAATAAAAAAAAACAGATTTCATATATATATATAATAAAAACATTTATTTCTTAATTTATAGGAAATCATTCTTGGTAAGAATATATTCTTGTCTTATTGTGTATTTAAAATAATTTTTCATCTTTCGTTTTATTTAATAACTATTCTAGGGGGTATGTATTCATTTTTTCTCGTATCACTGCATATTTCTATGTTTATTCTATTTAGATATAATCCAAGATATTATTTTGCTATTGAAACAAGTTATGGAACAACAGCTGATTTAAAAGAAATGATTGATGAAATGCATAAAAATGGTATTCGTGTCATTTTAGATGGTGTAAGTATACCTATTCACATCTGCTACTAAAAATCACTCGATCAGGTTTGTTTTCAATATTCTTTCACTGTCATAAATGCTAAGATGAATTCAAATAATGATTTGAGTAAAGAATTTTATTTTGAACAAGAACTTTAGAAGATAAAATATGAAGTTTCCATAAGAAAAGAAAAGACTTTTGTGTCTTCCATTAGGTTTATGTATCTTGATCAAAGGACGTCGTTGAGAACGGGAAGACACTTCATTATGTAGAGAATCGTTTGCTTTATCATTTCGAGTAATTCAAATAGAACTACTCTTGCAACTTCTAGAAGTTGAAAGACTTAGTTTTCGTTTTTTTTCAGAGATGTTATCCCAAGGAAACCAGCAATCATTTTCATCTTCAAATATTCTTGTTGGAAATAGAATTCTCTATTCAAATCGCTATTTGGATTCGTCTTAGTGTTTATAGCAGTAGAAAAAAATTGAAATTAAACTTGATCGAATAATTTTAGAAGTCACTATATGTTACAGTCAAACTCAGAATTTCAATATTGACAGGATAAAAGTAGGATTACAGTTTCATTGGGGTACAATTAGAATTTTAATATTAAGCGTGTGGATATATTTGGTTGATTGAAAAATTAGCGTGTACAGAAGAATTAAAACAAGTAGCCATAGATGATTGAAACATGTAAACTTTACGTTTGTAAATCAGCAGAAGTTTTTTTCTTCGACTGTCATTCTAAACTATAATTGTGTAAAAGTATACCATAGTCCGTTCAATATAAACAATACTTTATAAAATAAAAAAAAAACTGTTTGTTCGGACAAATTCAGAATTTGACTTAATTCTATGTTTAGATAGTTCATATTTTTATATACAATTAATATATAATTTAGGTTTATAATCATTGTGATTGTTCATCGCCATTAACACAAATAGATCATGATTATTGGTATCATCACAATCCAAAAGACGTAACTAGTACGAAAAATTATATTTTGTTGTTTTTTTTTTCACATTTTCAGTTGAAAAAATTAATTAGTTCATTTGCAGACAACAATAGAATGAAAGGACAAGTATATATAAGTTAACAAATGAGTTTCCTATCCAATTTTTTGAATGTAATTTGTTTCATACCGAAAGAGCATGTTGAGTTTAAGTAAAAAAGGGAGAGACGAGATAACTATATACCGTTAAATATGGTTTCGTGTCTTTCACCAATCAATTCTAAATTAACTAAGCATTTTGAAATCTATTGAATTTATTTAAGCTCTGAAGCTTAATTTCGACTAAGTTGCGAAATTCCGATTTACCCTTAATTTCTAGTGGAATCTACTTGCTTACAATTAAATTTGTGTAGTCATCTTTCCGATACATAGAGAATCTCTTTTAGTTGTTTAAATCTATTTGCTACGTATTATGTTGGAGAAGAAAAATCTAAATATCTATTGAAAAATTTCTTCGTAAGAATCTAAATTATTATTTTGTTTTGTTTTGTTTTAGTGTCGTGGGGACCCGAATGGAATTATAGTATGTGATTTAGTCCATATCAACAATTTTCTTTTTTCATTTAAATAAACATTTCATTTATAAGATTTTTATGATTCAAAATATAATATTTGGCCAGCTCGTAAATTTATTGGTGATTCAATTCGTTATATGGTTGAAGAATTTCATATTGATGGTATTCGTTTTGATGCTGCACGACAAATTCAAAATTTTGATTTTTTACATTGGGTTGTTAAAGAAGCAAAAAAAGCAGCTGGACCTAAACCATTCTATTGCGTTGCAGAATTTTTACCTGATGAACCGTGTATAACAAATATTGATGGTCCTATGGATGGATGTAATATCAAATAAAATTTCTTTCTATTTTTTGTTTTTGAATCATTATTTTATTTTAGGTTGGCATGATAGTTTCTATTGGATAGTACGCGATTTATTACTTCATGATAATACTGATATTGGTCGATTAAAATCTGTTATTGATTGTCGACAACAAGGATATTTAGGTGTTACAAATGTAGTAAATTATATTGGAAATCATGATCATGATCGAATGTTGGTTGAATTAGGTAATACATGAGTCTTATAGATATTTCGCTTTATTGAGTTTTCAAAAGCAAATTTTGTTTTGAGAATTTTTTGTGAGCCAAAGTACTATATTCGGAATTAACATGTTAAATTACGGCGAATGATATATAGCACCAACGAATTTTCAAGGAAAAAAATTTTGGAAAAATTAGGGTAAAGATATTCCTAAGGCATGTTTCGTTGGAAAACATTTTCTCCACGAGATGCTTTTATACACACTGTGCAATCTCTGTCTCTCTCAGTGTCACAGACTGTCGAATTCATGATTAGCAACAGCAGCTACATCGTTTTTTATATTTTAATCCTACAGAGATTACGTTAACAGCTTTCTTTTCAAGTTTGAATATTAACTTTTTATCATAGGCAAAGAAAAATGTATATTTGATGAAGAAGCATTTAAACGTATTCGTCTTGGTGTTGTTCTTCAAATGACAAGTATTGGTATTCCAATGATATGGATGGGAGAAGAAATGGGAGAGTAAATTTCTTCTTGTTATTTTCTATAAAATAAAAAGATTTTGATGTTGATCTTTTTGTCTTTAAATTAGATATAAAGAAAAAACACCTGATGTTGCCAAAATTGATTGGTCTTTAATTGCTGAACGTGAAGATAATTCAAATAACATTAATAAAAGTCTTCTTGCATTTTATCGTGGTTTAGTACGTTTACGTAAAGAAAATAAAGCATTTTTTCAAACAAATCTTGATTTTACTCATGAAGATCATAATGCAAAAGTGTTAGCTTATCAACGATGGTATTTAAAAAGAAAAAGATTTTTCTTATTCATACAATAAGAATATTCATTTTGTTTCGTAGGGCTAATTCAGGTGAACGTGTTGTTGTTGTTGTGAATTTATCTGGTCATTTTCTCAGTAAATATTCAATGAAATTTGTTTGTTTATCTTATAAGAAATAGTTTGTTTTCTTTTTAAACAGCTCATTATCCTGTACCAAATATGCCTACTAATGGTTGGTGGCATGAATGGACATTTAATTATGATGTTAAAGTTGATTATAACGAGGTACATCTTGATTTAGCTGAACGTGAAGCAAAAATTCTTGTTTGGCTTGGTGAAGATTGGCAACCACCAGCGCCTGAACCTCAATCAGACCCATCAATAGAACCAGCTCCAAATAGTGATACAAGTACGACAGAAGCAAGTCCTGAAGACAAGCAACAGTAGTGAAATATAATAATTTGTTGTTATTTTCTCTGACATCCTAAACGTAACTTTTTCTTTTTTTTTTTGTTTTTTTATAAATGATCTATTCTAATGTTGGAAATAGAATATCTTTAACGGCTAAGAGAAATAAAAGATGTATCTTCTGATAGCGAAATAATTAACATTTTTTTTTAATGTATCGGTTGTCTTTCTAGATTTTCGTTTCTTCTCTTAGATCATTTGGTATTTTCCTATTTTTATTCGAGCGCAGTTAACTTTCTGTCCTGTATATTTAGTTTTTTTAATGAAATTAAATTTTATTACAAAACAACTTCTCATATTCCTCTTTGTTCTTTTACAAGATAGTTTTATAGTTCGTACTATTATTTTTCCTTTCGACAAAACAAAAACAAAGCTATCCAATTTAATCATGGCAGCATTGGCAGGCTACCGTTGCTTGACGTCAACAATCAGCAAGCGTCGTTTCGAATAAATTGACTCGTGGAAGTTTTTAAATAATAAAACTCAACGTACATATGAACCTTGATTAATTATCCCGATATACTCAGTCCTTCATAAATTTTATTTATCTAGTTTTTTAACTCTATTGAAGGAATGAGAAGGAAAAGAATCTTTTTTTCTTTTGTTCATTAACATTCTATTATCATTGCATGCGTGCATACACAGTACGTTATATGTGTTGATAACAAAGGAATGTGTCGGGTGTGGATTCGAACATGGGTGCAGGTATGCATGAAAAGCAGGATCAAACTCATCAACATACTCACTCATTCTCGCCCACACTTTTGCAGCCATTACCCGTAACAACGGTGGCTGCATCATGTTTTAGATGTAGTCCCGTAGAGACGGAGGCGCTAAGGAAAGTCATTTTGGTTCTTGTGATCCTTTTATCGCATATCTCATAGAAAACAGCATCGTAGAAAGTTGAGTATAATGCAACTTTTGATTGATTATTTAAGACCTACTGGTTCTGTAAGCTTCAGAATTTTTCATTGAGTTAATCTGAGATATCCAGTAAAGGTGAGAGGTCTTCTCAAAGATACTGCTCTGAAGAGGAATATAGCATGAAATATGGACGTAGACAAAGAGATACGGAGGAGATATGCTATAAAGGCAAAAGTACATTTGCTTTGGAAATATTGAATGTCTTGATCGATAAATTTCAATATAAGTGACTTCAATCAAACGATTTACAGCTCTTATTTTATATAGATTCTCGTAAATGAAGCATCATCCCACAACAAGATTTAGAGAAAAACTCTTTTTCTTACAGTTTTTACTGATACAAAATAACTACGATCTGTGCCATGATTACAAAACAAAGCAAAGAGACCATTTAACCTATCCGAATCGTTCTTCGGTTTTCGTTCGCTTTGTTCAAGCTTCTAGAAAGCTTTCGATCCTAATTAACGATTTCCATGAGAACATCTTTTCTGGATGGATGATTTGCCTTTATGACGATTTCTTCAATGATTATGGAGTACATTATTGTACATGTAGTTTGAATAGGAGACTTTCATCGCATTTACACTTCGTCTCTAGTGAAATTTATTCAGCCAAGGGGAAAACAGCTGATTTAACTCAGCTGAAAATCAAAATTAGCTCAAATAAATCACCTTAACTCACTTTAACTTACTATAAATCATATAAAATCATCGGTTTTAATTCAGAAAATATTTTCACAGAGTTGAAACGGAATCTAAGTTCATAGTTTTATTGGCCTAATATTCGACAATATTCAATATAACTAACTAACATGAATAAAGATATGATTGTATACATATGCGTTAATTGAACATTTATTTTGTTCATAGAACGAAGAATACAATTCTACTTTTGCGAATTAGCTCGAAACCATGTGCTTTCAATAACGATAATATATTCTTAAGAATATATTTTTCTGTTCGTCTAGAAATAATAGAATGAAACAAACAAGTCAAAGAATGTTGGTTGTATCGCGAATACCCAGTAGATTCAATCCGACACTCGGATCCGATTGGATTCTGTAAGTATCCTATCGGATTCCGGTAGGATCCTATAAGATTTCATCTGAATCGTGTAGGATTATCATCGCATTCTGGATCACGGATTGATCCTCGGATTCCTAGTGTCGGAATCCGATCGAAGCCTATGTTAGTAAATTCAAGAAATCCGACTGCCCGAAATCGATCGGAACCTATTATTACAAGATCATCGGATCCGACTGTAGGATTCCTGAGAAATCGGATAACCCTGGACCCGATGACATTTCCATCAGGTTCCTACAGTTTGTTGTTGGATTCATACCCGCCGAAACCCGAGTCCATCCTACACTAAAAACAAGTCGGATTTCATCGGATTCCATGTGATACTACAGGATCCCAGAAAAACCGGATCCCTGCTGGTATCAACATTCCACATAATAGATGTGAACACCACAAAAGCACCCAAACGATAATAGAGGTCGAATTACTTCAGTCAGAAAACGTATCTATCATGCAAAAGGATCGATTGCAACCGTATTCCGCCTTTCATGAAAGCTTAAATCGAGACCGATGCTTAGTTGCCAGAAATCCGCACTGCATCATTCCAACACTGACAAGCCACATAATGTTCCATTCTGGCAACAACAAAATAAACATCACCGAAGCCACTTGTCATACTTGTCTTCTTTTCAGTTTTTTGAACTTCCTAGGAACACATTACTACCGCAGCCTCACACACCGTTTCTGGAACTCTAGATTTTTGGCGAACGCTGCAACCGATTCCAGTGAGACGTTTACAGGTTTCAGTGCTTCTACCATCAATGAGTGCAACAGAAACTCTTCGGAAAGACTCACTTTCTACGAACACTTACTTCTTGAGATATAAAAAGGCGACTTCCCGTGCCATGCGCCTCGTATCTTCGCTGAATATTACCCATCCGCCTTCCAATCTCCTATTTCACGGGTGATCATTTCCTTTCTATTCTTCATATTTCAATCCTGAGTACACTAAACGTTTTCTGAGTCGGTGATGATTTTGTTTAAACCCTCGATCCCGAATTTGCTAAATGTGAGGTATGGGTTTGGGTGTAGTGTCCAGGGTACGGTCTGTGGTTATGGATTTTCTCTTTATCTAGGCGGACACCCCGCAATCTATGATGCCCAGAAAAATCAATCGAAAAATTTGATGCGGTCAGATTCTACCCGAATTTCTATAAGACCTACGAAATCCTGTCGAAAACCGGGTCACAAAATGACATTGGGATCCTTATTATTGGAATCCGATCGGATCCTACTGTCGGAATGTGACAGAATCTAACGCAGGGCTCTGACCGACCTCTTCTGTTGGCGTGAGGTACTAATTAATACTTAAGTAATTAAATATGATTTAGTGGTCGGATCCGTTAGTTGTTCCGTGACCGGGATTCCCATAGGATTTGTCAGCTGATCCTATCCGATGAAATCCGAGATCGGATTCATTCGCCTGGGCTGTTGAAACAATTCGAAATATATGTAAGTCGCCTGAGCTTTTTAGGCTGACTCCAAATGTCGTACTATTTGAAGACGAATGCGTATTCTACTGCTTGAAAACCGTCGACTATTATTCGAAAAAAATGCAAATTGGATCTCAAATGTGGTACTTAGTCAAAACTGATTCACTATACATTGGATTTCAAGTTGGAACTAGTGTCGTTAGAAAGAGCTCATGAAATTAGATATTCGGCTAAAAAAAAACGGGCTAGTACAACAATAGAAACTATAACTTCGTAAGACTCGAAAAATCATTAGTTGTAAGAAAATGACCCGATTGCGACAGTATTTTAGATTTATCGATAAAAAAGATCTGAATCTCTGCGAATAGTCTAGATATTCTGATAGAGCCAGAAATTCTTCGTCAAATGAACTTGTTTTCGAGGAATCTTAATTTGTATTCAATGGATTTTCGGGTCAAAAACTGATTTTTAATGCTTTCAGAGAGTGGTTCCGATTTTTCTTATTATCAGAGTACTTTTGAAGAAAAATATGACATTTGCAATGAGCACACTTAACGCTATCGGGCTATAAGGATATGCAGCAGAACAACGACAAAACAATTGTTTGATAGCTGAGGGGGGCCCAGGTGTGAAAAATTGAGTTGTGATAAAATGCAAAATAAACTTGTGAAAAATTATCAGGGCTCAATGTTGACTCTCGGACTAACAAAATTAGGTTCAGATTTTTGGGACGTTTCGTCTGTAATCTGATATTCCTTCTTTCTTGGTATCAGGTTACGGTACTATCATTCCACTAATAACAACAATTTCATAGAAATGATTTCTGTAGAATGCAAGCATATTGTTAAGGAAGAAATCAACGATGATTATAAAGAACATCCTTAACATACGTACTTTAACTTTGATTTTTTTAAAGTGTGTTACTTTAACTTTAATACTTTATTAGTTTTTTTAAAATTAAAGGGACATCTCTAGGCTCCACTATGAAATTCATCGGAGATCTAAAGGAATAAGTAGGATCCTACAGAAACTGAATCGGAATTCAACTGTCGAAAGGAGGAGGGCGGATAAAGCCAAATCTTTTAGACTGCTTCAGGACTAATTTGTTTCTATTAGGTGTGAATATGGGGTGACTCCTGATTATTTATTTCAGGTTTATTTTTAAAAAAATGACATCATCCATTTTGGTCCCTGAGGTCCCCCCAGGTATCGTCGACAAAAAAAATTCGCTTTTCATCAATCAAAGCTAGATTTCCCTATACATTAAGGTGTGCTGATTATGAATGTCATAATAAAACCNTTCAGGTCTAAATTCAAAACTTTGATTTTATCGGAAAAGTAGGATCATATAAGGAAAATGATGGTAAATAGTCTATATCTCAGTCAAATCCCAACTTGGGCCCATATCCTTTTAGGCTTTTTCTAGTCTATGCATCCCCTACTTGTGGGCAAAATTTCAGCTCAAAAGCTTTTTGACACCTCGGGTGGTTCCCTCGTGAGAGAAATAGCCGCTAATGATTTTTTCAGGATCATTCCATGGTTAGTGGTACCGAAGTTTCCACAATGTAGCCAGTCAGCTATGGCGGTTAGATACATTAAATGAGTCCTATAGTAATTTATTGTTTTTATTAAAATGTGTCCAAGCCTATACACAAGGACTTAAGTAACGATTGAAACCTTTCTGTATACAAAAAAGGAAATCTTTCACAATATCTAACAGTTACCCAATCTACCTATAGTAAGAGTTATGTATAATAAAGTCCCATTTAATTCTTAACTTACCGGTCCAGCTAAATTCTTTTGTAATTTAAGTAAACCATTAGCTTTAAAAATTTCTTGTTCATCTGGAAAATCATCATCATCATCTGATGGTTGTGGTTCTTCGTATTCTTTAGGTGGAATTTTAGTTTGTTGTTTTGGAATATCATTCGTCTCTTCTTCTATTTGATCTTTTAATGGTGATTCTATTACCATAAAAAAATGCAAACAAACTTTCATTATTAACAGAAAAAAAGACAAATATTCTTTTACCTGCGCTTGTCTCTTCTTTTGGTTCTTCATCTTCATCAACTAATTTTTTAATATGATCTGTTATACTTGATCGTGTTATTGATTTACCATATTTAACTATTTTACGTTTACGTGCTAATTTTTCATAATCATCATCTTCAATAAATGAATCATCACTACCACGTCGTTTTTTATAACGCATACGTCTTGGTGGTGGACGACCATTTTCAAGTAAATCTTCTTCATCATCATCCTCATCCTCACCACTACCATCTTCCTGTTGTTTAGCATAATTTTTTTGAGCTGTTGTTCGTGTTGATCGTCGTCGATCATCATTACCAATTTCATTTAAATCAGTATCATTCATCGTATCAGATTTTGTTGTATCCATTGTTTGTATATTACTTAATTCAGTTTCCGAAACTAATTTAAATAAAAGAAAATACATATGAATGTAAATTGAAAAAAAAAACAATTCTCTACGTACGAGAATCATCATCATCGGATTTATTTTTTGATTTACGACCTTTACTACGATTAGATCTAATTATAAAAAAATAAGCTTTTTCTTTTTAATTTTTTCTTCTTTTTAGTTTTACTTTGATTTTGATTTCTTTTTGGAGGATGGTCGACGTTTACCCTTCCAACCGTCATCATCACTTGATTCATCATCATCATCATCATCATCGACATCATTATAATCTTCTTCTTCAGTTTCACTTTCACCCGAACTTTTAGAAGAGAAAATATATATATATGTATGTTTGACAACAACAACAACAACAACAACACATACCGATTTGCATCAGGTGCAAATTCATCATCATTTTTCGTATCAACTGCATCAAAATCTTCATCTTTTTCATAAGTTGCACGTTTTTTTGGTGATTTTTTCTTTTTTTCAACACTTGATTCATCTAAAGACAGCAATATCTATTTATCTTAAGTCATCCACTCAAACGCTAGCTTTGTTTTATTTCATAGAATTTCACTGAACAAAACAAAAAAATACCTGAATCTTTATCAATATCATCTCCATTAACTCCAGCTTCAATCATAGCTTCTTTCATTTTTTTATCATATTCATCAAAACGATAATTTTGTGGTTTTCTTCGACATGATCGTACACCAAGTCTTTCTGTTTGTTCATTTTGTTGTCCATCTCGTCGATTTTTAGATTTTTCTCCACCTTCAACACTACCATCATCTTTAAAACCATAGACACTATCATCATCATCATCATCATCATCATCGTCGTCGTCATCATTATTATTATTATTATTTTCTTCTTCTTGTTCTTCTTCATCTTCATCTTCATTTTCTTCATCACTATAAACAATACCATTTGGACGTCGTTTTTTTGATGATCGTTTAACCATTCGATCGAGATTTAACATAACATTAGCTAAACGATTACTGCGTTTAGACATACATTGATTACGTTTTATTTCAAGTTCATCATGCTCTTTTATAAGTTGTATTAATTTTTCAATTAAATTATCACATAAACGTTTATGTTCACATAATGGACAATACCAATCACCATCAGGTACAGATAATAATATTGGTTTAAGACATTCTAAATGATATGCATCATCACAATCATCACATAATAATAATGATTCAGGTCGATCGGTTTTCGAACAAACACAACATGAACTTGATGATGTTGGTATATCATCAGTATTATCTTCATTCATTTGTCCACTACGTTTAGCAACTGTTTTAGCTGAACGACGTGGTACAAATTCATCATCTTCTTCTTCCAATAAATCATCATCATTTAACTCATCTATTTTTTTTTTATCAGGTAAATAATCATCTGAATCATAATCATCTTCATCTTCTTCTGATGGTTGATGTTCATCATCACTTGATGATGAACATCCATTCATAGATGTTTTACCAGTACCACGACGACCACGGCGACGTTTACGACGACCATTTGTTTTCGATGATTGAGAAGATGTTTTTATATTTGTTTGACTAGAAGTTTTACATTTGCCATTTGTTAATTTCTTTTTTGTTGGTGTCTAAATGTAAAGAATATTATGAAATCTAATTAGTCAATTTAATGAATTTATAAAAGATTTAGCTGAAAAATATTTAGAAACTATTTGATAAAAAAAAAACAAGAAGACAAGAATTTCTCTCTTTAACATTATGTTATTTGAATATACAAGATGGCTCATCAATAACTAGACAATACAAAAAAAAAAAAAAACATTCACTATTTCCAGTCTGCTTTAATCAATATAACCGACGAGGACGCTTTAAAGTTTTTATTCATACGAAAACTGTCACAATGTAATCAGTATGCTATTGGACGGATGATAAGAAACAAGCAGCTATTAGTACCTATCAACCATGGTCCGTCCAGGTCATTGAGACCAGTGTGGCCTCGTTCGCCTGAGTTAAACTAAAAATTTCAGACATGTAGCCTTAACTCTTTGATGACGGAGTTATTTTTAAAAGAAATATTGGCGATCATATTTCTTATATTTACACTTTATTTAAGGATGCAATGCTATTACCCTAGTAGCATCCATATCAGAATAGAAAAAAATATTGAAAAAGTCTGTTTTAGGAGATTCTAGCTTCGACGTCAAAATATTCAGAGCAGCTGAAATCAAAATAGGATCTTTTTTGGTCAATATCTATATTAGGATCAATACTGCTAATGCAAAGCCGTATCCTTTTACCATCGAGTTATTTATACACAAGTCTATATCTACAGACTTCGTATTAAATAAGTTTTTGTAGTATATAGATAAAAAGACTCTATGTACTTTTGTTCTTACTTGTGAAACAGATTTTGCTGGACTAGATGTAACAGAAGGAAGTTCATTGGTTGGTGCTTTTCGAATACGTCTTGATCGACGTAATGCAATAGGTAAATCTTCATTATTATTTGATTCATCATCTAATGGTATTTGATTTATATCTTTATCTTGACTAGCTTCATCATTCTTTTTTGTATCTTGTACTTCCTCTTCATTATCAGTTAATTGTTTACGTTTTCTTCCTTTAGTTGGTGTTTTAAGTGTTTGAATTTCATGTTCATGTTCATCTTTTTTTGACGTATTTGACATAGTACGTCGTTTCTTTTTATTCCAATTTGTTGATTTTCGTCGTCCACGAGATTTTTTCGATGGACTTTTAAGTTGCTTATCTTCTTGATTATTATTTATTTCTTGAGGTAAATCATTTAGATTTGTATCTTCAGATGAAACAATACGTGAACGTTGACCATTTTTATCAACTGAATTTGATGATTCTTCATCAGATTGTATTTCATTTTTAATTAATGATGGTGATAAAGATTTTTTAGGATGAAGTATTATTTTACATTCATTTTTAATTGGAGCTTTAAAAATAAATCAAATAGAGAAGAGTTTTTTTTTTTTTTTCTTAGTCATTTATAAAAATATTTTACCAGCTGGAGATAATGATGGACTTGTTTGTTTAATTTCGTGTGCTTCTTCTTTTTTTATATTAATAGAATTTGGTATATAACGTTCTTCAAATTCATGAGATGATTCTAAAGAATTTAAAGATTCATGCGTAAATTTCCAATCTAAAAAGAAAATTATTTTATAAATTAAAATTATTATTTCAATAGAAAACAAAATTTTTACCAGGAAATTTTTTTCGTACAACATAATCAGTAATAAGTATTTTAATAATATTTTCTAATTCATCGTTATCTCTAGAATAAAGTTCGTTTTTTTCTTTTACATTTAATAATTACTAAAAATAACTAACTTTGCTATATTTGTCCATGTTCTTTCATCATCTATATTTTCTCGAAATAAACGTATAAAACATTCGCTGTCCTAAGAAATTCAAATATAGATCGATATTTTTTTGCAAAAATTAAAAAGTTTAATTTCTACCAAAAATAACCAATATGATGCACCAGAACGATCACGACCAAATGGTTGTGAACGAACTTCGAATGATTGTTTTTCGAGTAAAGCTGTTTTAAATCCTTGATTATGATCGAATTGTGTTTCCAATAAGTTCTAGAACAAACAATATATTTTTTTTTTGTTATCCATCGATAACGGCAATCACTCAATACAATTATGGACTATGTAAACTTGCATCTTTTTTTCTTTCATTGTTAAAAATCATTCATGCGTATCAAGATAAACAATCCTTCAATCAAAATTCTGAATCAATAAGCAACGATAGGTACAGCAATAGTAAAATTCAGTCGTTTTAATCTTAAATTTTTGACTCTCGTATAGTTAATAATATAATTGTAATTATGCTTCTTGTAAAAATATATACTCCGAGAAAAACAAGTATTCCTCGAATTAAATAAAATATTTATTTTTTTGTCAATCTGATTGATTTAGCTTAGAAATTTTGTAAGCATACAATTTGTTCGCAATCCCTGGGCCATATTGAATAAAAGTCAGACAACAAAATTCACACTTATAATACTTTTCTATTTTTATAATAATCAATTCAATTGAATATGTGAACCTCTGTGATGAGTGTCATTGATCGAAACTAACCTACGGAAGAAAGAAAGTCTCGAGCCTTAGTCTTTCTTGTACTTGCTAGGAATAATGCTCTTTTGGTTCCTGACAAATCTATTATTGTTTTCTTACTTTTAAAATACGGAGTTTAATATCAATTTCTGCTTGTGAATAACCATTAGCTTTTAAATATTCTCCATCATCATAATCAAAACGATATGCAAACTAAATAAATAAATAAAAATTTTTTTTTTTCAACGAATATTTATTTATCAATTAATTTCAATTGTACTTTAGTTATGATTGGAACAAATTTATCTCGTTGGGCACCTTTGCCTAATGATATTCGTTTTAATAATGTAATATGAAAATCAATTAAGCGACGGCTAACTACAAAAGAAAAAAGCACGAAATATAAAATTAAAACAAAAAACAATCTTCAATATATTCTCATACTATTTTCTTGATCATTTAAAAGATTTTCTTCAAGTAAATGCAATGGATAATCTTGTAAATCAATATGTGCACGAAATTTATCCAAAAAACATAATATAACACCATACATTGGATTATTTAATAAACTTATACGACGTTGATCATAATTAAGACGATTTTTTTCTTTTTCATCTGATGTTGAATCAATATTATTTGAAGTTGTTTCACCATCATGTGCATCCATTGGCATTGATGAAGTTGATTCTTCTTTTACAAGATTTGGAGCAGCTAAAATAGGATCTTCTTTTTCTTCATTCATTTTTCTAACCTAATACACAATTTAATTTTCCAGCTACATTAAATGACGAAGACAACAGAGTCATTCAACAATTCAAATAACCATCATATGTGCTTGTATTGTAAACTTTTCATTGGTAGAAAATATCAGGTCTTTGTTTCAACAATTAAATAGAATGTAGCACCATCTAGAAAATTGACTTTTTCAATGAAATTCTTTTTTTTGTATTAATAAAAAAAATAAAATCATTTGAATAGATATTTTTTTATAATTAGCAAAATAATTTTTCGAAGAATACATATTAGCTGGGAAAAAAAAATAAGCATTTACTTAAGCTATGGTGATCTCTGTTTCTCTCTGAATCATAAAATTATTTACTAAGACTTTAGTCACTTATGCATTTGAAATGAAACATCTATGAAAAAAGTTATGATGATAAAAATATTTCATCTATTAATCATTTGGAATAATTTTGATGACAAATCGTGAAAATACTCACTAACAATTCAATGAAGTGACATCTGATGTGTACAGTAATCAACGTGTTTAGGTCAAACACTTCAACAGAGGAAAAAGAAAAATGATTATTCATGGATAATGATAAAGATGTATGACTATATCTATACAGTGTGAAACATACATTTATATTTCTTTGATATTTTTGTAAGAGTTATGGTCCGAAAAAAGGTTTCAATGTTTCTTGAAAAGTAAAAAAATATTTGTATAAATTTGAGATACATCGTCACATCCAAATATTTTAACTCGATTTTCGGAGGTGCGACACTCCTTCAGCTTCGACACTGGTAAGACTCATAGGTTGAGAAATGTTTTCACTGAAATATATGATGCTGATGCTTTTCATATATAGCATATATATATATAATGATAAATTTTAAAAATATCAATACAGATTTTATTTTCATTGCAAGAACTGGATGAGAGACGTCAAAAGTTTATAAGAAAATCGTATCTTTGATATTTTTTCTAGTAGATGTTCTATCTGTAACAGTATAGTTAGTGTTTCATCATGTGATATTTAATATCACTTGATAGCTCACTTTTCATGAGGGGAACATTGTTCCTATCTTTCTATAAACCATTGTATAACTAAAGTATGTAATTCATCAAATTATAATCATATGTAAACAGTGTCCCGTGCATTTTCAACTCTTGCATGAGTCACTGTAAAACATGATTGTAATATGGCGCCATCATTTGTATAAATTCGAAATTAAACAAATAAAAAACTGATAGGTGAGCCGAATTAATAATTAATTATCGTTGTATGAAAAATTTATTTTCTGATTTTTTTTAACTGAATCACGAATGAAATGAATAAGTGCAGCTAAATATGATTCGTATATATCTCCATGTTACATGCTATTAGATTATGTTATATATGAAAAAAAAACATGGATTCTTCGATGATATATGATTGTTGTTTTTTTTTTCTTCTGTGTAATGTTGATTCATAGAATCGTTTTTTTATTTGCACGTTATTTCATCAACAATAAACCTATAACTTCCTTCTAGAATATTGTCTATTTCAATATCGACTTTTCATTTACGTCTAAAATATTAAATAATAAATCAAAAATGCATCTTCAAATCAAGACATTGTCTAATGAAAAATTTACCATTGAATGTGAATTATCTGATACGGTAGGTTTTTAAAACCAACAAAGGGTTTTTAAATAAATAAATTTCTTATTTTTGTTTTTTTGAAATTTTTAGGTAAGAACAATAAAAGAAAAAATAGCATCACAAGATCTCAAGGATAAATATGAGGCTGATGCAGTAAAATTAATTTTTTCTGGAAAAATCCTTGAAGATTCAAAAACACTCGATTCATATTCAATTAATCAAGATAGTTTTCTTGTTGTTGTTAAACAAGCAGCACCTAAAGCTTCAGCTGTAAGTCAATTGTAACAGTTCAATGAAATTAATTATTTCATATTCTTTTTATTTTTCTCATAGACATCGACAGGTGCTACTAATGTACCAACCAATCCTCCTAGACCTGCTAGGTTAGTTAAAAAAAATTCTTTTTTTGAAGTTTTTTTTTCATAAATAACTTTTCTTTCTAGTCCACAAAATCGTGCAGCTAATGTTCCTTCAACAGCACCAAGTTCGGTTCCACAACCACAACAACCAGCTCAAACAACTCCAACTGATAGTACTTCGGCTGCTTCACAAGATACATTTTTATCAGCTGAAGCTCGTGAAAAAGCTTTATGCGAATTAACAGATATGGGTTTTGAGCGTACACAAGCGGAACTAGCATTACGTGCAAGTTTTTATCATGTTGAACGTGCTGCCGAATACTTAATTACAGTACATTAAAAAACAATATTAATAATTTTTTTTTCATCGAATTTTAAATTTTATTTAGGGTAACATTCCTAGTGTGAATGAAGGACCGGCATCAAGTCAAGGAGGTCAATCAGGACAAACACCTACTGGTTCTGAAAGTTCAGCTGGTAGCCGACAACCAGGTGGAGGTAATGAATTATACCTTATTATGATAACTTTTTGTAACATATAGATCTAAGATTTGAAATTTTACAAACATAAATTCTGTTTGAGTTTTTTATTCTTAATGGGTTATACAGATTTTAGATTCTTTACATTTCGAATGACATAAAACAAAATTGATTCTATGTATATAAATTTTTAGCTGACGATTTATCTCAATTAAGTCAAAATCCACAATTTCAAGCATTACGTAATTTAATTCAACATAATCCTAATCAACTTCAAACACTTATGCAAACATTGCAAGCTACTCAACCCGATCTTTATCGAGTAAAATCATATATAAAAATAAATTTTCATATTTTTAAATTATTGTTTTGTTTCGATAGTTAATTGAACAACGGCCACAAGAATTTCTTGAATTATTGAATCAAGCTGATGACATTGATGAAGGCGGAGATGATGATGATGATGCATTACAAGGTGGTGCTGCTGGAGGTGCTGGTGGTCAAGGTCCACCAGGAACAGTTACAATTACACTTTCACCTCAAGATCAACAAGCGATTAACAGAGTTCGTTATCATTTTGTATTAAAATTTTAATTAAGAAAATTTAATGAATGAATTTATTTTTAGTTACAAGATATGGGTTTTGAACGCAATCGTGTTATTGAAGCATTTCTTGCTTGTGATCGCAATGAAGAATTGGCAGCTAACTTTCTTTTGAACAGTTTCGATTAAAAACTACACCATTTGTTATATTATTCTTGACATACATAAATGTATGCGTTTGATTTCGTTTTTTTCTGTGTGTGTGTGTGTGTGTGCGAGACTGTACAAAAAGAAAAACCAAACATCATCAACATATATTTATCCCATTTTTTTTCGCTCCGATTTATTTCCGCTTACATTGTGCTTGTCGTTTCATTTTGTTCTGTTTTTCTTTCTTTGTTTCTCTTTAACTCATTATAACTTCTTATTGAGAAAAAAAAAACTAAACTAAACAAAATTCAACATCGTCGTTCGCTATTTAATATCTCCGGTGTTGATTTCTTTTCTTTTTCGTTCGCTATCTTCTGTTCATTTTCTTTGTTACTTGAAATCGGTATAGTACAAACATTGTTGTCTCGAAAGGTCAAGAGCCCACATAAGAAGAAACAAAAAAAAAAAGAATATCCGTTTTTCTTACTGTATGTATCAGTCCATAAGATTATAACCTAAAAAGAAACAAAAGATGAATCTTTTTCTAAAATTATCAAATACAAAATTAATTAATTTAGAGTTCTTGATTAAGAAAAAAAACCAATAGGAAATATATTAGATAATGATTACAACGGGTGAAATAGTATGCAAAATATACAATTGTAACCAAAACAGAGATGACGTTGAAGCTTGTGATACATTATATAAGGAAATGGCGCCTTTTCTATAAACTATATCTCTTCCCTTATTAGCTTTTCTTTGTTTAACTAGTTTTTGGTTGTGAGTGGTGTGTAGGGAGCTATGCATTCTAGTCCGGCTCACAAAAACGTGTGTCCATAGTTCTCTATAATCCATAAAGAGAAAGTACGTTACTTATTGTCTTTCTTTGTCTAAAATCTGATCAATTTCCCTAAGCATACGTTTGCTTATTACTGGTAACGCTGGAATGGAAGGCAGTCATAGTATCAAATGCCATAATTGCTGATACATACATGAATGTTTTTTCTATTATCATCTATAGATGAATTTTCATTAAAAAAGAAAGTCTTTTCGTAAATTCCTCTTCTGTGATCGATTCTCAAACACAGTAAATGGCTCAATCATGTTCGAATCGATTTTCACTCCTATGCTGCTATATGAATTAGTAGTGTGAAAAAGTAAAAATATTTTGGCATGAGATCATACCATCTGAGAGCCGACCCGGTTTCAACACACTAGTCGACAGTCAAGTACTGAAAATTCCACACAAACAACTTTAATTTCCTGTTTAACTCAATCTGGAATAGCTGGTTCGTTTTTTATTATGATAACTATGAATATACTTTTCACATTGATCGCATAGAATATATGCTTGGTTGGTTTCGTTCTCATAAATATAACTAAGACTAATCCATAAAGCTGAAGTTTATGTACACAGAGAGTACCAAATATTGGTGAAAGAAAACTCGCGTTTGAAACCGGCCGGGTCCAACTTCACAAAAATGTAGATCCGCAGCTTTCTAGTGGTGTGACTATATGAGATAACATAAGCACACATTGACCTTTTTCAGTGTTAGGAGAAAAAAAAATCATTATTTTTAGAATATGGTCACGTCCATGGAAAAAGGTATTAGAAACTTTATTTGTCATTTGAAAAGACTTCGAAACAAAGAAAGCTGAGGGAAAGTAAAGCAAAAATTTTAATCAGAAATATTTTGTGATAAAATGTAAAGTTTTCGATGTATCTTTGCTTGCTGATGCCGTAAATCATAATTTTTTTTAATAAAAAAACAATTTTTGACTAAAAACATGCCAAATTAATTTATAACAATTTTTGTAGATGATACACGCGCTCTGAAACTTCATCATTTCAACTACGCTTTTATTAGATTCATTTAATATCGTTATACAGACGAAAGATCTATTTGGATTGTCAGATACATCTTTAATATATGCAATGCATGATACCGAAAATGAAAAATATCATTTTACTCTTCGTTTCGTTGATTCAATCACTCTATTAGCCTGGTATATACATTGTTTTAATTATGGAGTAACCTTTCGAGTACACCATTCGTTCTCTCGACGAACTTTGATATACATTGTTGTGTTTTGCCTAAACTTACCAATTTTAAAAAACAAGAAAATTATTTTTAACAAAAATATTTAATGGACAAGAAATTTGCATGATCTCTAATTTTGTATTATGAGCAATCATTTCTATCGTACAATTTCATATCTGTTGTATAGTTTTTTAATATTAAATTTTCATTTCTTTAGCCTTTTAAAAATAAACAAAATCTTGTTTTCATGATGCCAAAATAAAGAAATGTTTAATTCTCTCCATTAACAATGAACATATCTTCATCTCTATCTCATCAAGTAAAATATATTAAGATAAGTGGCTTTTAGTTTCGTTATGTATAATATTACCCTACATAAGGATATACGATAATGAGACATATTCATCATACACGATATTTTCATGTAGATTTTCAAAGAGATCACTTAATTCTTATACATTTGATTGGCGAATTAATACATCAAACGAATATGAATGAACTTCATATTCATGTAACTAATGATTGCAATTAATATGAATGCAATTAAAGTAATTAAACGAAAATCTTTAATTTTCTTTATTCAATATGAAAAAAATATTGCAATTGGTGTCGAAATTGTAAGTCAATGGGTTTTGAATTAATTGGTAATAATGATGATGGAAAAAGAATGACATCAAATGCAAAAAAATTTCTTTTCTGTTGTAGGACCTCACTTTTGTCATAAGATTATATTTTCGAATTTCGATCTGAAAACTAGAAGTTTTTTTTCCATAGATAAATTATCCAACATGAAAATATTGAAAGTTTCTAATATTTCTGAAACACTCAATAAAAAAAATTGTGAAATTTTTTATTCAAACTTCTCTCGTTGAGATCTTTAGTGTTTGATATCTCTTCAGAAACAAACCATAAACACAAACTGTTTGTTTTTTGTTTGCTAGATATACAAGGAATACTACACAAATGTCTTGGGGAATCCTTTCGAGTAATATTCAACGACTATTTCTAGCGTTTTTTTTTTTTTCAAAGTACCACCCTTCATCAACAATGCTCTGATGCATTCGATTAGAATAGGTCATTGAGGTGGGATTTCAGATCATTGTTTCGAGAAGTCATTAATGGTTGCTTAAAGTATGTGTACTATCGAATTACTGTCGTTGAGTCTAATTTTGTGTGATTGATATGTCAGTTTTAACAATAGAAAGAAATCACATGGGTGTAGATCTGTGGAATATGCTCGATCAACATATATTTCCATATAGTTTTGGACGGTGAATTATTTGCTAGCCTAGAATGTCTATGACTTTGCATTTTCATAGAGAAAACTTGTACTAGATAGCTATTGACAGGTAAAAGAATGACGTGATGCATTTGTTTGAACTTTCGTTTCGATAGGCTTTGACTACCCTAGGATTATTTTATATTATTCAACAACACTTCTTATTCTCTATTCTAATTACATGACTATGATGAACCACTAGTGATGATATCGAATACAAGATTGAAATTAGTGTATCCAAATCTTTTCAGTCAATGACGATATAATCGAACACAGAACTACCTTCGATTATTGCGCATAAAACATCGTAGAAGTTTAAACAAATAGAAATAATTAGTGAAGACAATATCTTCCGAGTGTCTTCTATTAATTTATGTCTCGTAAGATCTTCAATTATCAATCGGACACCAGCTGAAGAACAACTTGAACAAGCAACATGAATTTCCATGTTTATTGCACAAATTTTCTGTTCATATAGAATCATAGTTCGAAGTTAATCTCATGAGCTATTTAAAAAAAAACGCGCGACTGAGCTGAAAGAAATGTAAGAATACGACGTTGTACAAAATCTAGAGATCTGAAATTTCGAACATAATCTTGTATACATCTATATGCATAACTCATTGGATCATTTTGTTCAGATTTATAAATTGAATAATAGTGAATCACAACAAGACGATGGTGTTGCATTAACTGAATACTCACAATATTTGATTGATTCAATTCGATAATTATCTTCAACAGTTCCATTAATTATCGTTAAATCACTTGAAATTAGATGTTGAGTTTCAGATAAGGGTTTTTTTTAATCATTTAATGATGGCCATTGACCACCCATACATCGAATCTTAACAAATAAATCAAGCCAAAATGAAAAAAATGATAGTGTGGATGTGAATCTGGATCTTCTGTTCACCCACACCCACACCCTGAGTGAAATCAACTATAATTAAAAGAACTAAGAAAAAAACCGATTTATATGGATTTCTTTCTATTTACAATGATAGATGAATCTCATATTCATATGCACGTCAAGCGACCATATTCAAAGAACCAGCATACACTTAGTCTCTGAGGATGTGGGTATGGATACTGCTGAAGAGAATATCCATCTTCACATCCGACACATATGCGCCAATGACTTCTTTATGAATACTTTTATGAACCAACATCTTTTCACAATTCTAGTTTTCAACTTCTAAAGTTTTCGATATTTTTGCTTCGGCTAAAGTTTAAACAATCATTCATTTCATATTGAATACATAGATTGATATTTATTTCTGTATGATTTCAGATGGTTAGGATAGTTCAAAGATAGACAGTGACTAGCAAGGAGACATTTCAGTACATCTCTATTCCGTGATTCGATTACTGATAGTTAACAGAGCACAACTATGCTTAAAAAGTTCTTACATCTTATTTCATGTTGAAATAAATAAAACTTACATTATCATGAATTCATAAAGAAATATTTAGAAAAAAAAAACAATTAGTTTTTACCTGATTCTTATGAGAAAAAAACAACCTTTTAAGATAGTCTAATGTGAATATAAAAATCGAAATGATAGACTTGAAGTTTTCTTTTGAAAATATGTCATAATCAAAAGACACTGCTGCAGATGAAATCAAAATTGAAAGAAATCTTCAACAATTTTTTCATAAGTCAAACGGATACATGCAGATATATTGAATAGAAAATTGAACATTGTCAACATATGAGGGCCACTTGGTATAAATATACACATCTAAAGATTTGTTTAAGAATAAAACATCGATTAGAATTTATTGCTATTAGAAAAATTAGTATACAACATCAGCATGTTGTCCTATACATTTTTTTTGTGAAACTGTTTATGATATCTCAAGCAAATAAATAGAGATTGAATCATAGCAAAGTTTTGTTGTCTTTTTTCCACAGATTATGTCAATGCTTACTATGTATATTTTGATAAAAATGTAAATTATAAAGTACAAATATAAAATATTTTATCCTTGCTATTGAAAAAATAAAAAATTAAATGAGATTGTAAAAAAATGAATATTTTTTTTCCTATCTGTTTATTTTTCTTTTTCTTTTTCAATATTAAATACGAATAAATTATATTTTGTATACCAATACATTTCTTCATTGATATTCTATGAATAACTTCAAAACTATATGAAAGTGCAAAAGAAAATTTATCGATTGTGTTTGTATGTTCACTGCAACCTAATAAATGACAATGATAAAGCAATCTTTATACAATTCATCTTACACTTATGCTAGAATTTTGGTTTTCAGTTAGATCATATAGAAGAATAAAAAGCAGGATTATTGTTTTTTTTTATTTGTTTCCTTCATAGTTATTTTAAATATTCACCAATGATCGTCGATAAAACGAAAACTTCGAAAAATGGCATCAACATTCGATCGAACTGTTGTTGTTGTTGAACTCGTTTTCATTATCTCGAAAAAAAAACACAGTTCTCATTTCAAAATCATCATTTTTGCAGCGAATTGAGAAAATAATGGTATTTTGTAATAACGTTTAAACGCAAATCGCATGACTCTTCGATCTTTAGATTATTGCAACTTGAATAGAGAGAGGGTCGAGAAAGTAAAAAAAAAAAATCTCGAACGATTACTCTATAGTGCTTCGTACCATGATTAGTTCGTCCTATTTTGACTCTTCTAGATCAATAATATCATCGCCCTACTTATTGACATCTACAATAAGATCATTTTGCCGCATTAGATACCAAAATCCTCAATATTAAGAATAATTAGAGTTTACATCGAAATTTTTAGACTTGTAGAATGTTTTGGAAGATTCTAAAAAGATCTAAGCACTGTTATTACTGACAGATCTTTTCCCATTGCTATGAAAATGTACCCAACGATGATTAGCTTTCCTTTTTTTCTACAAAATATATCTTCTCAAAATGTAGCAACTGAATATTTCTTTACTTTTTTTTTGGTTTCGTCGGAAATAATTGATTCTACCATCGTGACGAAAAAGTTCCGTACGCTCTATTCTAGTCCTTGTGATCTTTAAGAATTTCAATAGAAAGATTGCATTCAAAGTTTGACTTATCAACAAATTAATCGAGAAAAATTTTCTAATAAATTATATACTAAATTTTTTTTTATTTTTTAGGTAAACATTTATTTCAAAACAAGAAGAATCATTTTTATTCTATGTAACTAAAGAATTGAACAAGTTTTTATTTTCAATCGATTTTTATAAATATCAATTTTAGATGATGATAATGATATTGAAGAATTTCTTAATGATGTTATTGATAATAATTTTTCAACTTCAATTTGAAATCGAATAAATTCATGAACTGATATTTGAATATCAGGAATATGATCTTGTTGACATATATGATGTAAATCATTATTTAATAATGATATAGTTTCTGTTGAATTTTGTTTACAAAATTCATATAATCTAATAACACTTTCTCCATCGAAATTTGTCAGTAATTTTGAAAAACCAGGTAAATTTATTAATTCACACCAATCAAGAACTTCTGTATTTGTCCAATTTTCTAAACTTATTATTTCTTTTGTACGTCGACGACTATTTAAATTTGTAGGTACAGGACATTTTTCAATATGAATATTAACATGTTCAGTATCAACTATTGTTGGTAATGTTGTTTGTGTATTTTCAACATCGTTTGTTATTATACGTTGAACTAATGTTTCTATAGCATGAATACGAATTTGTTCATCATTATCCGGATTATTTGTTGGCGTATGAACTTTCCATGATAGAATTTGATGATCAGATGCTGTAGCATAAAGAAGTTCTGTACGACAACGATTATTTAATCTATACATATCACTAAGACAAACAATTAAATATTGTGTACTATTCATAACTGATATAAATGATGAAATAAAATTATCATCCATATTATCATATGTTGTCCATACACGAAGACCATTTTTATTTAATTCATGTTCAATCATTTCAACAGTTTTATGATCAGTTGGATCATAACTTATACCAATTGTTTTACCAAAATTATGGTTGTTTGTTAATGTATGCTAATATATAATTGAAATGATTTTATTTATTAATCTATCGTTTATTGTGAACTATTCAAGTATATAGAACTTGGATTCTTAGATTAGTATAATACTCAAAAGTTTTGCCATTGTGATTTATAAACTTCTAAGAATGTCTGAGATAATAGGAAATTTCTTTTTTTTGTTTATGTTTATACAATTCTATTTAAATACTATAGCATGTAACTGAAAAAAAGAACACTTAACTTCAAATAAATACATGGATTATCATTAATATAACTAATAAATCGAAACTTAACGTCATAACTTTGTCACTATGTAAGATTTGATCAGAAAACATTGTAGTTTCTACTCAATGATCTGACTTTTCGTTGCATGGACAAAACATTGCAATATCTAAATGTGAGTGTGTGTTGATATTAGTGAAGAATTTGATGATCAGAAATATGTTTTATGTTGTCTTAGGATATTTTTTGGCTACTTTCCCATATCAATTCAAGCTCTCAAGTATCTAACGAGGGAACATATGCAACTGATTCCGAGCTTTCGGCTTCATCTTTTGGCTACAGGTAGGCCTCAGTGAGACTAAGAAAACCCTAGAAGCGTTCGTTCCCATGGCGTATTAGTG